TATCATTTTCCTTTACAGAAGTTTTGTTATTTGTCAACATTCTGTTGCTGACCTCTTCACCTTGAGCGCTTTGCATTTCTGAACATTCTGTGACATCCTAGTTGCTCAAGTAATTGCAAGCTGCAAGCATTTTCACATACATAGAACAGACACACACGTTGCGTGGTTCTTGGATCGTGAGAATGTATTGAGTTTGAATAAGTCTTCTGGGAAATTACCAAAAATACGACAACAACAGAAAGACAGGAATGCCTATACTTTATGGTTTGAGGCAAACATTTCTCATTTTAGGAGCTTTATATGGGGAAACCTTTTCCTTTTCACCAGGTGCACACAGTCTGCCAATTTCAGTTTTGGAACAGGGGAAAATGAGATAACCCCAAAACATCCATTTTATCACATTAGAAAAGCTTTTCACATCGCTACCATTTAGGTGAAAAGTGGGATTTAGCTCCAGAAAAACCTAGATGTCACACAGCTGGTGGAAACGTCATGTGGTTCATATCCTGCAAATGCAGGAACAGGCAGCCCACAAGGGAAATTTTGAGATAGTGAGGATCAGCCCATGTAGTTTTAATTGTAACTGTATATGCAAAATCTGTAGTTAGAAAGATCCTGGACAGGGAAGTTTCTTTTTTATAATCAGCTTTTATTAATACTTTTCATAAAGCCAAACTAATCTATAGAAGAGAAGTAGGAAAAAAGCAAAAATAAAAAGGAAGAAAAGAAAGAAGTGAAAGAGAATAAAAGACCAATATCTTAACCTTTATTCCACACAGAAGAATGAACCCTCCCAGCAATCACCTGGGAGTTTCCCCCTCTTCCTCCAGCCTCCCATCCTGGGAGATCCTCTGTACCAAAACTCAGAGAATTTCTAAAGTAGCCTGTAAATGGACAGATGCAGGGGAAAGAGTTAGAAAATCTGCTAGTTGTACACAAGCCTTTGCTTAAGATAAAGCTGTTGGGTTCAGAGTTATTGTCTTGAGAGTAACTGTAGAAATTAATGTTTGAATGATTTTTATTTTCATGTTAGCCGCTCTGAGCCCGGATTTTGGCTGGGGATGGTGGGGTCTAAAAAATATTATTATTAATAATAATACTATGTATGACAATGAAGTATGCTTTCACTTACCCCGCCCCTCTGTTTCATTACCTTGCTCCACTCTCCTTCGCAGGTGCACATTCCTTCATTTACTGTATTCCCAAATTTTCCGGTGTTCAAAAAAAAGTTAATATACTTGGCTAACTCCATGGACTTCTCACCCAGAAGTGGGTATTTTTCCATAGCAAATAACAAAGGCAAAGCTTTATTGTATAGGTATGTATTAAATCATGCTACTGCAATTACGGTGATATTTAACTCTTAGATTTCTTCAGATTTTTGTTATATTATTGACTGTGGGCAGTATTAATGTTAGTCATACTCAAAGTAACTAGTCTTAGTATAGCTTAGATGAATATTGCCTTTGATACCTAATAATAATAAAACAGGTTTTTATAATTTAACTGATCTAGGCACAATTTGAATTTTCTTGCACATTCTTATTTCCCTTGTCTCTTTTAAAAGCATACTTTGCTACTCTGTACCCTGATATGTTGATGTTAGATGAAAACATTGCCATAAAATATTAGAACCACTGTGGTATAATTTAGAAAGCTAAAGCAGGGTGCTTTGTGGTCTTGTAGTTGGGAATATCTCAAACTATTGCATATTAACTCTGTTTTAACTTTGCAGGTTGAAACACTACTCAGATTTCTAAACTGATTGCTTTAGACTGAGGTAATTATCAACTGAAGTAGAAATGCTGCTGGAGAATTGCGGGCAACATAGTTTAAATTTCCTTGTTACAATTTCAGAGTCAGAAAGAAATTCAGTTCATTGCAGTTTTGTATTTAATTTTAATGGTTAGTGAAGTGTGTGCACTTATTTGGAATAAAGCACACTGAACTAAGTGGGTTTTCCTTTTGAGAATGTATGCACTGAATTATGCTACGCAACAGCACATGCATTTTAAGTATTTTTAGTCTGCCCTTCCTGCAAGGGTCCCAGGGTATCAATCGATAACACTGAAATCACAGTTTACAATTAACAATAAAAATTAAAACATGTAAATCTAACTTGGTTTCACTAGGCATTTAGTCTAGTGCAAGGTAAAGGTAAAGGGACCCCTGACCGTTAGGTCCAGTCACGGACGACTCTGGGGTTGCGAAGCTCTTCTCGCTTTACTGGCCGAGGGAGCTGGCGTACAGCTTCCGGGTTGTGTCGCCAGCATGACTAAGCTGCTTCTGGCGAACCAGAGCAGTGCACGGAAACGGAGCGGTAACTATTTATCTATTTGCACTTGACGTGCTTTCAAACTGCTAGGTTGGCAGGAGCAGGGACTGAGCAACGGGAGCTCACCCCATCGCGGGGATTCGAACCGCCGACCTTCTGATCGGCAAGCCCTAGGCTCAATGGTTTAACCCACAGCGCCATACTCTAGTGCTATTCATTGCTTAAATCCTTGCTGATATAACTGTTCATAATCTTATGCATTAATTGGCTTTTTGGAGGATGCAGCCTTTTTCTTGAACATTTGTTGACTTGCTCTTCATACTTTTCTCTCTACAGATGGTGTACCCTGTGACTTTAAGAAAGTGGATTAACTTTTCTTCATTGCCTTGATGAATGCCTTGATGTATTTATATGTATGTGCATTTGTAGCAATACATAGCTTTTTGAATAACTTGGCAGAAACTCGTCTCTAATATTTCTCTATAACATCACCAGTGTTATTTAAGAGAACATATTGCATGAAAGTAGGGGCTAATCCACACATGCAGAGAAATTATGTAGGACAGCCTTACAGGATGCACTAAAACTGAAGGAAAAGGTGGGATATGACTAGAGCATTCAAACATGTAAGCCACCCACTCTCAATAGTCTGAAGCACTTGGTTTTTGATGGAATTTACCTAAATGGGTGGGTTACATGTTTGAATAGGTTTGAATGGTGGGAAGAAGGTAAATACCATTTCACAGTGCATGCTTATGGAAGTGCTGTTGGGGCTGCTAACTTGGACATCTTCCTGGGGAATAGGTCTACTAGTGCTTGTTACATATGGTAACTAAGAGGGACTTCTATCTTTAGAAGTAGCATACCTCTGAGTACTAGAATCTTACATATTTGACTACTTGCTCTCCTTCATGGGTTACATAACCTTGAGTTTAATCAGAGCTGTGGGAATATTTTGCACCAAGTGGGCACTGGAAGGCATTTAGTTTCAAGCTCAATAACAGTAGTGTAATACTGACCCCAAGTGGTTACTGGTGGATACTTAATTTCTTATCATTTGCTTTCATTTTAAAGCATTCAAAAGACAAACCAGCACTTTATCAAACAGTATATTTGGTCACTTTGCCCCCATCATTTGACTTTCCCAAACCAATCACTATGGAACTCCGACAATGCAAAATATGTGCATAATTCTCCTACACTGCCCTACATACCACACCTTAACTGAAAGACACAGTGCTAGTGATTTAAAATAGTGGTTCTTGGATAAAACAATTTATTGCAGCATTTTTACCTTGACAACAACCTTTCATAATATCCTCCAGCGGGTTAATTATGAAATGTTTTTTGGGGGAATCCTCCTTTAGATACTCATGCCTCAGATCATTTAAGACTTTGACCAGCACTTTTCAGACTCATTGGTAAATAAAGTACTTTACTTTTCTAATGTTTTATGTGTGAAGTGATAACACACAGTTTTCTTCTTCCTACCATCTTAAAGAGTAGGAATCAAGTACTGTGCCTAACACGCTATGGTTATAAATACACTTCTGCGTTTTATATATAAAAAGTGTCTACTAAGACTTCCCAAAATTCTGGATCCACATGATATTTTCACTATGTCCATTCTAAAGAGAACCTAAAGTGATGTAAACTTGTATTAAATGAATGATGTTGAGCGCCAACCTTCATAAGAAACTAAAGAGTCTAGTGGCACTTCAAGTGACAAATCTGTTATGGCACACAATTTTGTGGACTACAAAAAGCAGACGGATGAATACATTCTTAACCTTGGCAATCCAAAGAGCTCAAGTTAGATATAAAAGAGCAAAGTTAAGGTTTGTTTCTTCACGTTACACCAAACACCATAATTAAGTCAGACTGATGCTTATCAGCTGCAAAACATCCAGTGTAAAACATATGCATCGTGGCTCCTCCTATTCATGCCTTTGAGTAAGAACACTATAAAATGAATACGAAGTGAATTCATGAATTCACTTCTCCCAGATGAAAAGGCCCATATTAAAGACAACTCAGCCTAAATGTGAAACCTGTGTTTTTCAGCCACATCCTGGGGGAGGGTGCAAATCCTGAGCTCAAATCCCAAATTGAAGCTGGGAAAGGATAAGAAACAGCTTTACATCTCAAGAATAGCCTTCCTTGAACCACCTTCATCCTTATGATTTCATGACATTTCCGCAAGTTCTCCCACTGCCAGCCGCCCCGCCTCAAGAAAGGACGCTGCCATCATGAATCAATTGGAAACCGTTTCAGATCTTGAGGGTTGACAAACCTCAGCATGTGCTTTGGCACCATCTTTTTATGGGGTTACGTGACGGTATTGCAACCATGCTTCGTGCTATTCCAGCCTCAGAAGCCTACAGAAAAGTTGGTGTGAATAAGCCCAATTATCTCTGACAATACTAGGGCGCAGCCAGCTGCTGCTGGACCCGCCCGTGAGCGGAGCCCTGGTTATGGGGTGGCAGCTGCCTCGGTTCTCACGGGTGGGGCCAAGTCCAAACCCTACCGCGGGGCGAAAGCGGCCAATGAGCCGAGGGGAAGCCCCGCGCCCAGGTTCCAGCGCCCAGCGGTTACCATGGAGACGCGGCCCCTCTCCCTCCCCACCCCTTTCTCGCTCGCGCGCGCGGCCTCACAATGTGGTCCCCCTGACCCAGCTTTCCCTCAGAAGAGGATGCTCCTCCGTCGCAAAGCTCCGCCCCCTGTTGCCAAGGAAGTGAGGTCACATAATATGGCGGCTGGGGCTTAGCTGCGCTGAGGGAGGATCCGGGTCTCGGGGAATCTGCGTCCATCCTCCCCACCCGGGGTGCGCTGTCGCCCCCGAATCCCTCCGGCGTCGAGAGGCGGGGCTAAGGGCCGCGATGGTCTCTGGCGTCGCCCTGCTCTGAGTCAGGGTCCCTCGCGACTGGGTCCGGGTCCTGCCGAGCCGCCTCGATGGAGTTGAGAGTCGGGAACCGGTACCGGCTTGGCCGGAAGATCGGGAGCGGCTCCTTCGGGGACATTTACCTCGGTGAGGGGGCGCCGCTCTGGCATGAACCGAGAGGGGGTTTGGGAAGGGGGGGCGCGCGATGACGGCCTGAGGGAAGCGGCTGTCTTTGGAGAAGCGAGGTTGGGGGGTCGCTTTGCCTCTGGCGCTCTGGTGGGGCCTTCAGGTCGCGGCCCCCCCCCACCCCAAGCGGACTCTGCTTTCCCGTGAGGTGACAGAGGAACGCCCAAGAAGCGCATCAAGCCCCGTAGCGGGAAGTAAAACCGTCGTGTCCCTCGCCTGCTCAACCACCGCAGTTACAGTCAGGGTTTACTCGGAAGGAAGACCTGGGTATTGCAGGGAGACTGACTTCTGAGCAAGCGTGTTTACAGTTAGAGCCTTGGCTCGACACTGGGGGGAAATGAGGACTGGGAGAGCCCCAGTAGTGCCTAGTTACTTCCTTTGTGACCTTGGGCAAATCGCTCTTGTCTCCTTTCTCTCCTCTCTCTCTCCCCCCCCCTTTCTTCCCCACTTCTTTTATTTGGCTTCTAAGCTGGGGTGGGAAAAAATTCCTGACTACATGTTTCTGGGCCAAAGGGTTCTGACAGTGAAGTATGAGGTTTGGAAATGCACCAGCTGTCGGTGAAGAAAAATTAATAATACTCAGATGGAGTTGTTTACTGTGAGGCTTCCAGGAAGTAGCCTGATTTGAAAGAGATAATTGCCTAGGTTTAGGTTATTTTTTGCAGAGTAACTCTTCTCCTTTTGTCACTTGTCATGTCTGCTATAGCTTTTAGCTGAATTGTCACATGGGGAGAAATTGCAGGTTTTGCACTGCTTTCTGGAACTAAGGCACACCTGGTTATTTTCAGCTTAGTCCCCTAATTTTGATGGCAGTGTAACTGTGAACCTGAGCCAGAGGCCTGCTAACTTACATCTTTGGTAATAAATCTTTAATAGACCCTGAGGGATGATGTGGATTTTCTCCTGCATTTTGTATGTTATAAGCTAGTCTAGGTGTCGCCTTTCAAATTCATAGGCTTTATGCAAAGGTAAGCCAGAAAAAATAATCTGATAGATGAAACTGACGCTGGCAAATAGTTAATGGTTCAATCCTGCAAAGGCATATGCCTATGCATTGCAGTATGCATTGAGTGGCTGTAATGGGATTGCTGACTGTGCATGCTGCTATCTATACAAGGGTGTAAGTCAATCCAAGTCTGAGCTCCTGCGTTTAAAAATACACTAATTTATGCATGTCAGGAGCAGTGAGACCAGTTGTGAAGCCTTCTTAATTCTTGTTAATTGAGAGGGTCCCCACCCTCTTGAAATCTGCTTCAGTGCATGGCTGGCCTTTAGAATATGGATGTGTTAATAACATTAAATAACTTGTGTACTTCTTTGTTCTTCACTGTTGGGGGGGCAGATGAGAACAACTAGCACTTTAGTTTTGAATCATTGTACTCTAAAACTGGACATCTGTTTTCAAAGATTGTGGGAATGCAGTTTTCTAGAATCTTACTGTCACCATCCTTGGTGTTGGTTTTGGCCTACAGATAAAGCTACTTGAGAACAGTTTTAAGGTATTTCTCGACACTACAGGATCATTAGCTATCTGAGAGTTATGAAGTACAGCAGTTATTTTGGAGCTATATATAAGGGTGCGGCCCCAGAAGGAGAAAGGTTGTGCTGTGGCAGCTCCACCTATGGGAGCAGTAGTTAAAGTCGTTGTGCAAGTTAGGAAACTTTGTATATAATGAGAAGAGTTGTTTTAGTCTTGTTCTTAATAACATAGTCCATCTGGTTGTCAAATATCAGGCAGATGTTTCTAGTTTATGTGAGGAGGAGCTACCTATTTGATTATTTTCATTTTGAGAATTATGTACAAGAGAGGCTGCAGGCATCTGTAGCCTATATATAAAGATGGTGTGTCAAATAGGTATTAAGCACATACATATTTTGGCCATGTGTATGCAATTCGTTAGAATATCAGCATCCAAATAATGAGTCTTTAAATTGTCATACTTGTGAAACAACAGAGAGTAGCTTAAAACAAAGCACTGAAGATGGTTAAATGTTTAACCATTGTAATCCTTGAAAGAAAGAGAAAATCTGCCCAAATGTCTAATTCTGGGACTTTCCCCTAACACAGTGAAGTCTTTGATGCCTATAAGTGAAGTGGTTTCCACGTCGCAATAAAGCATATTTAATGTTTAACCACAGTTTATTGCAAATTAGTAGTGGGTGCCTGCTGATCAAAGCTTCCTGCTTTGTTCGTCCCTTGCTGTTGGCCATACCGCTCTGGGAGCAATAAGGCACAAGCTTTGACTTGTATATTCAGACCAGATATTGTGGTTTGTTTCTCTCCGAACAAATTATAAGAGGTAGCCAAGGTTTATTCTTACCTTACTACTCATGGTTTGTTTGGGGGAAACAAACTTTGAGCCCAGGTATAGGCAGCACAACAGTCCAAGGCTTGTAGCTTGTTGTAGCAAGGAACATGTGAAAAATGAAGCAGGGACTCCTGAGCAGTGAACACGAGCACGTTGGTCAGTTGTGTTAAACCATAGTTAAGCATTGGTCTCTTGTAAGAATATTTCCCATACTCCTTTATGTATTTAAAAGATAGATAGATACCTTGCCCTCTCACCAATGATTTCCAAAGCAGCCCTTGTAGGTACAATACAATTAAGCTATACTGAAGAAACATTTGTGCTCACTTAGAGTATTGGTATGTTACAAAATCTTCCCAACACAAGATCCATTGTTGCACCCATGGAATGATGGGACTTGCTCTAAGCTGTTCTGCTGTCACTCATGCCTTCCAATCTTCTCAGTTTGTGGAGAGGTCCCTAACCCTCCAGAACAGATTTTGGGTTGGGGGTCACCCAGGGGACTTCAGAGAAGAGAGGAAGGGGGAATCGGTTGCACAGGCAGAACACAACAGTTGGATATTGCTTAATAGCTTTGGTGAATAGTCATCTTTGCTATCTTTGCTCTGTAACAACTTCCGTATTGTATTGAAAGTAGATCCTAGGAATCCTTGAGTTGAGTTCTTCTGGAACAGCTTTTTAATGTATGGAAGTATAGCTCGCACTATCAGTGTTACTCTGCTGCATCAGCAAGACCAATGCTGTTATTTCTTTGTATATGTTGTAGAGGTCAGTTGGCCTTTGTTACTTGGTTTGAGGCTGTAAGTAGGTATTCCAGATAATCCAGTGCAAAGTTCTGTCTCTAGATAGGAGGTGTAGGGGTTTCTCAGCTTCTGCTAGTCATAAAATAAATGTTAATGTCTGATAGGAAGATCTTGAGGTTTTTGGTTATTCACTGGTTTGGATTCCTTTTACAACAGAAGTAGTTTTTGCCACTTCTTAGTCAGGAAGATCCCAACTCCTCCTATTGTAGCAAAAGCTGCTAGTCCCATGGCAAATTAGTATTTTGCATTAATTTGAAAACATAGCTAACAACTTCATGTAGTGAAATAGATCTTACATAGACATGATACTTATCCCAGAATTTGACCTTTAGCCAGCTTCTGTTTTCTTAAGAATTGTGAAATGTTGCCCAGTCACTAGAAACTTTTTTTGGCAGAAAATGTGCTTACCTAAGAGAAGCTTCCTTGCTCAGGAATCTGTACCTAACTGTGCATGGTTGCAGCTGAGCCTCTTCTTAAGTGAATAAAGAACAAATTGCTTATGGCCTGTGGTTTTTGCTTAGTGGAGTTAATATTTTATGTACTGTTCTAAAGATAATATGCAGTAAAATGGCTTGACCCTTTTAAGCAGCATACTTCTTCCTAGTTCTCCCCTATATAAGTACAATATAGAAGGCTTAATATGGGACATGTTAAAGACGACTCCCTGAGTGAGTGAGTGAGTGAGTGAGAGAGTGCATGCATGCACAATGTGTGTGCACACCATGTCACAGTCTTCATATACAGAGGCCCGTTCACAACATGAAAAGAGCACAACCTGAAGCGCCGTATCCGTGCAGGTGCGCGGCGCGATTTGGCGCTTGTGTGCATGCGCGAGTGGCGAAACCCAGAAGTAACCCTTTCCGGTACTTCCGGGTCGCTGCGGGACGTAACCTGAAAGAATGTAACATGAAGCAAACGTAACGAGGTATGACTGTACCTAAAACCAAGTTGTATATTGTAACACTACTGTTGCATTCATTTTGGTTAAAAAAGTTAATCCCTTGTTACCTCGGATATTAACCTCTCCCTCTTAGCCAAAATCATTATGTGTGGTGAAAGACAAAAGTAGTCTGTATGTGCAACACTGGTGCTACATGCAAGAGCCTTCCAAATAAAATCATGTTTAGAAAGGGAGAGACAGTGTTTTAAACCAGAAGGCTCAGCTAAATCAAGATGTGAACCTGGAGAAGTTATTGTGCTGTGTGCAATCCGTCGCTTGTCATTGACATTTCCTGTGTCTTGTATGCAAGTGGGCCTGCCTATTCACGAGCGTGGAATGTCCTTATCAGCTTAAAGGCATGCCTTAGATTCGTATGTTCTCTCTCCTCTTGCATTTCATCTGCTCCCAGACTTAGATGAGACTGAAAGTAGACTATTTTTTCTTTGTTAATTATAGCCCTACCATGCTTGTTTATTTATTTCATAAAATGTATGTGTGCCACTTAATTGTTAACAAAAACCTCAAAGTAGTTTACAAAGGGAATAAAACAATAAAATTATCAGTAAAAACAGCTCTATAAAACATTTGAAAGATAAAATCAACTATAAGCTAAAAACATACACCAACATTTTTCATATAAGAGTGTGATTGTTTAGTGTGGCAGTGCCTACACTTTGGAATTCCCTACCTATTGAGATCAAGCAGGTGCCTTCACTGTACTCTTTTTGGTACCTGCTAAAAATGTTTTTGTTTAAACAAGCCTACCCTGATGCTTAGAAAGTTGAGGTAATTTCAATTTGCTTTAGCGTTTTAACTTTTATATGTTTTTAAGTATGGTTGTGAAATTTCCTTGATTTTACTATTTTATCTTTTGTAAACCGCTTTGAGGTTTTTTACAATTAAGCGGTGTATAAATTTTATGAAATAAATAAATTCCCTTTGACTTGTGTATATTTAATAGGACATAATCTGCAGGTGCTCGTGATACTGTAGTACATGCTGCATTACAAAATGCAACTTAGTGGATACTGAGAAATTGAGTAATAAGAAACCTATTGAAATCATTGTTTACAAATTAAGGAATTGCTTTTGCACACAACAGATGAATGTAGAATCTTAACCATCATTTTAGAGTCCTTGTGTCCCATTGATTTTGATGAAGAGCTAATGTGTGAATGGGCTTGTGGTCAGGACTTCATCTTCTTATCTTTCCCCCCTGCAGCCAACTGCGCACACCCTAGGTTTTCTCTGGAGACTCCCCAAAACCTCCAAAGCAGTTTTGAGGGTATATGGCATGGGGACTGCAGGAGGGAGAAAAGAAAAGTCCAGTTTCACAAGAGGAAATCTGTTCTGCTCACTTGCAGAAACCCTTGGATACAACCCACTGAGAAATCACTAAGACTTAAATGGGCTGAAGTTTGCCTAGATTGTATCCTGTTTACGCGTGGGTTATGTTCCCGGCCACCGCATGCATCAGTGAAATTGTGTATAATTAAAGCCCATTGAAAAGCCTGCAAACACACCATTCCACCCCTGCCCTGCCCGTGTTCCACCCTTCTAGAGACATTTCACTGGTGTCTTTATGACATTTCTGGGTCACACACATTGAACACATGTAAACAGGGCTACCTATAATGTATAGGTGACACTACCAATGCAAGTTATATCAGTTCAAAAGCATGAGGGGAATGTACATGCAGTGTTAGAAATTAGCTAGGCACCAGGCGCATTTTGCTCCTGATGTGGGTACAATTGCAACCACGTGGAGATCTCTAGATGCCAGGTTGGCGACTGACATCTCCACCTTTCTTAAGCAGAAAAGCTTATTCATTGCATTTATATCCCACCTTTTTCTCCAAGGCTTGCATGGTTCACCCCCCTTCTTGGTTATTCCGTACAACTACCTTGTGATGCCAGCAACTGTTACACACATTGCCAGGGTGTATAAGCAATTTCTTTGGTTCATGTTTTGATAGTCTTGGATTTTGAAGTTGTGTTTTCTTCTCTCCTTTAGGGACTGACATTGCTGCTGGAGAAGAGGTTGCCATCAAATTGGAATGTGTGAAAACCAAACATCCTCAACTCCATATAGAAAGCAAGATTTACAAAATGATGCAGGGTGGAGGTAAAAATTATTTATCTGTGCTGATAAATCATATGGGTACTAATGTTCTAGCTATAAACTGAAGAAGGCAGATAGCACTGCATATGTGCACAAGTGATTTCATGGTTACTTTCCTGCCATGCATTAGGGAGCTACAGCAGTAGAATCCTAAATGTGCTTTCTTAGAAATAAGAGTAGCACTGAGTTCATTGAGTCTTTAATCCTAAGTAAGTATGGGTGGGACTTCAGTTTTAGTCTTCATTCTCAATGTTCTAATAAGGTAGGCTCTTGTTTACACAGGGGGTTGTGAGGCTGACAAACAATTGCTTCACTAAGGGTTACCCTCTGAGCCCATGGATTACCAACACGACCTCAACCTGTCTGCACATTACTAAATGCAAATCAAGTTGTTGTTTATCTGTGACATATTTCTGAGTTGTAATGTTAAAAGAAAGGAACTCTTGAATTGTAGATCATGAACATGAGAGGTTTTCGATCACACATATGAGATATATATATTATTGAAATTATGTTCTGACAGTAGTGTCAATCCTGGTTTGACAATCTTAAAACTGGGCAAATCCTTTTACTTAAAGGCATGCATGGTCTTTGCATGTGATACCATATTGGCAAGATACCATTTCACTCTTGAACTTCGTCAGAAGCTTTCTTGTTTGGACCTATACTTTTTCTCAGTAATTGCAAACTGCTTTTTATAGTTTCAGAGGCACAAAAATTATTACATTTGTTATGCTGTAACCTTGAGTGTGGATCTGTTAACTGACAACAGTTAACTACATCGGCATAGTTCTTGCACATCTTGTAATTTGCTACTTGTTTCGGATGAGTAGCATTGTCCATTGCAGAGTACCTGAGTGTACCTTCCCCAAGTTAGGCAAATATACTCTGGAGATGGGGTTCGGCAGATATTATTACAGTTCTGCATTGTGTTACTCTAGATGATGCATAAGTAAATGTGCTCTTACTCATACAATCTTGCAATGCTGGAGAGAGAAGCCAAATGCAGACCTGGCACAGTTCCGTTCTGTGCTGGTAACCACTGAGCCAGCTGCTTGCATGATTCAGATTATTTTAAAGTAGGGGTGGGAAATCAGTGTTTCTGGACTACATCTCCCATTATCCCCTGCCATTGACCTTGCTAGCCAGAGCTGATGTAACTTGGAGTCCAACAACACCTGGAGGGTCAGAGGTTACCCATCTCTTGTTTCAAGTGTTCTTTATTCTGATCTTCTAGCTTTAATTACCTAGAATTATGACACAGTGATATCAGTCAGAGTGGGGAATGCAGGTAGTGGTGAAAGAATTGAGCAACTCTCAGAACTTATTTGGGGGGAATCTTCTGAAGCTGTAACCAAGGGAACCTCATAATTTCTGAGCCCAGGTTAAATAGCACAGATTTAAAATGTCATATACAAATATGCTATAAAATATTTGTTGAATTCTGAGTATTTTTCAGGAAGAAAAATGTGCTGTAATTTAAAAAATAATCTGTGGGTGCGCCATACATATTTTGTGCAGATACCTTCTGTTTTCACAAAATACTATAGTAATTTTTCCCTTTTTTTCTAGTGGGCATTCCCACAATCAAATGGTGCGGTGCTGAAGGTGACTACAATGTAATGGTGATGGAGTTGTTGGGACCAAGCCTTGAAGATCTCTTTAACTTCTGTTCAAGAAAATTCAGCCTCAAGACAGTCCTTTTACTTGCTGACCAAATGGTATTAAAATCTTTGCATGTCTTGATTATTGGGTAGGAGGGCTTCCTTAAATCCTCTTTGCATTCTATAAATAAATAATTGTCTTATATGGAACAAAATCTGGGCAGGTAGAAAGCCTACCACTTAAGCTATTCTCTTCATATACCAGAAAATAAAATCTGTCCAGTACAAATAATGCTTTGAAAGTTATTTTTGCCAGTGTGAATCAGACCAATTTAGCTGCAGTGGGAAACATGCTTGTGCTTCTTTAAAATACATACTTTTTCCAAAATGGATTATTCTCAGGGTTGCAAAGAGAGGCTGTGTAGTTAGTGGCTGTTGGGCTGGATTCTAAAGTATTCACCCGTTTCTAGTGCGTTAGGCTACATTCCTTATCTATCTCTTGACATGAGGGTTTGCAATTATTTTAAAAGCTAATCTTTCCCTCAAGGGGTAACAACAGTCAACACATCAAGTTTTACAGATTCTTCAACTTTACGTTAGGATCAAGTTGCAGAATCTTAGCCTATATGTATTTAAAATGTTGCTGCCACAAAAAAACTGGCCAGTTTATGCATAATAAATAACTTCTTGAAAATGTTATATAAATCAACTTGTGAATTGTTCTTCCAAAATAAGTGTGAAGACATTCTTGGTTTGTACTTCTGCACAGACATAGAAGACAATAAGAACTAAATATGTCTGTGAATAATATCTTCTCTAATGGCTATTGGGATGTCTGTATGTGTGTCCATTTTTAAACCCTTAGGTTCAGAAAGGTTGAAGTAAAACAGCAGGACCATAAATATTCCAGTTATGTGTCCTGCTACCATTTGAAGCATCTGGAAACCATGCTTTATGCAAGCAAGTGGCACTGAAATGATACAGCAATGGTGCTAGATGACGCCAGGGCCAGTAGTTGGACAGTTTGGGCACTGACTGAGGCTCCCAGGGGCTTGGAAGAGAGCCCCTCCCTGGACCAGCCACAGCACCATTCACCATCTTGCCTGCTGGACCCACCAATATTTTTCAGCAGTACACAGTGTTTCTGCTTTTAAATAGGAGCCAAGCTTACCTTTCACCCTCAGTGGTCACCTGCCATTTTGAAGTTACTCATAGGATATTGTCTTGCCTTACTGATTTTGTATGTCTATAGGTAGGATTGGGCCGTGACCTGATTGGAAGTAGATATAGTGAGGGTTCATTGTTGGCACTATGCCAAGGGCTCTCTGGCTTCAGCCTTGGAGGCAACTATTGGTCTAATGTAGTAGTACTGCTGTTACAGCAAAATCTTTAGAGCCCAAACTCAATCTTACCTAGATGAAGATCCTTGGAGGTTTTTAAGCAGATGTTGGATGGCCATCTGTCATGTAAGCTCTAGTTGAGATTTCTGCATTGCAGGGGGTTGGACTAGATGTCCCTCAGGATCCCTACACAGCTCTTTTTTTGGGGGGGGATGTCACCCTGTCAGTGCCCAAAGTGAGATCCAGTTAAGGCATTAATTCTTGCTTCATCAAAAGACTCGGGAGGAAAGCCACTTAGACTGCAATCTTATACACACGTACCTGGCAGTAAATCCTATTGATCTTAATTAGACTTACTTCCTAGTTGTCATGTGTACAGTTGCACAGTTAGAAACAAGTTAAACTGGCTTGTGGTATTTTAAAAAGGGAGTTAAGTAGAATAAATATTCAGGCATAATAAAGCAAGCAAATAGCTTTTAAGCTTAAACGTTATCAAAGTAGGATTTTAATATTAAAGCCCAAGATAAAGGAGCAGCTGGTTGTTTTTGAAAGGTTTTATATGCTGTAATTCTGAAATTATGTCTTTCTGCAATTAGATTAGCCGAATAGAATACATTCATTCGAAGAACTTCATCCACCGAGATGTAAAGCCTGACAACTTCCTGATGGGATTAGGCAAGAAGGGCAATCTTGTCTACATCATAGATTTTGGGCTGGCCAAGAAATATCGGGATGCTCGAACGCACCAGCACATTCCATATCGTGAAAATAAAAATTTAACAGGAACTGCCCGCTATGCCTCTATCAACACTCATCTTGGAATTGGTGAGCTGGTAGCAGATTATTTTGGTTATTGTTGTAGGAGTGTTCATACAATAAGACATCTGGATAAAATAAATTGTTCTGGCTACCATTGAAAAGAGGGGGCTTTGATCTGGGAGTGAGCCCTGTTGAATCCAGTAGGACTTATTTCTGAATAGATGTTGTTAGGATTGCGCTGTAAGTGCATCAGTGAAACAATGGTCATGCTCTCTAATGCATGTGACAGCCTCAAACAAGATGTTGGGAGTGTTTCATCCAATAAACTTCCATTGGGATAGCTTGGTCGATTTTTTCTTGGGGTCAGACTACCATATATGGGATCGAGAAGAAATTTCCCTTCGGGTCAAGCTTGTAAAAGTTATCTCAGGATTTGTTTTGTTTCTGTTTGCCTCCACTTGCATGCAGACATAAAACTTGCCTTGCTAGAAGCTGTTTCCAATGGCACAACAACAAAGAACTTTACCATAAAGAAGATTATAGTCCTGAGAGATATGGGTTGGAGAACACTGTGTCTTTCACTGCAGCCTGTGTCAAGAAATTGTGGCTAAGCTTGCAACTTGGCTCAGTGGTGTGAATCATCGTTAGCAGCTTTCTGCAGTATGTCTCTTCTTGGCACTGTGGCTTGGATTGCCTTGGTTGATTGCAGGGCTCCACAGATGTCTTTGCACCCCTCCCCCAGAGTTTTCCATGAATTTCAGGGGATGATGGGGAGAGGTCTCCTCACACTAGCATGGCAAGAGCAGCATTCAGAGACTGTAAAAGTTTCAAGCAAAATGAAATAAGATCCACCTTCTCTCTTCAATTCAGAGGATTTGGGGCAGGAAGGAGCCAGAAGCAACTAAATAATGGTTGCCTTTACGCTCAAAGCTGTAAAACCCTGGTTGATCTGCAAGTGTTGTGGGTGAATGATTATGTATTTCTGTTGTGGTATGGACCTATATGGCCATTTGAACAGTTTCCAGTATGGGATTCTTTAGGAATAATTGTTGGATAATTGCAAGAGTAAACCATTTTTCCATACTGATTTTATTGGCAAGGTTGAAATTAACTATTTAACAATGTTTTTCTTGCAGGTAAGATCTTTGTTGTGTAATTTTTGCTTTAAGCATATTTGAACCATTTCACCAGATGATAGAACCTAATGGCTCCGCTCTTCTACTCCTTGTAGAACAATCTCGCAGAGATGACTTGGAGTCCTTGGGCTATGTACTCATGTATTTTAACCTGGGCTCCCTCCCCTGGCAGGGATTGAAGGCAGCTACAAAAAGGCAGAAATATGAACGCATCAGTGAAAAGAAAATGTCCACACCCATTGAGGTTTTGTGTAAAGGATACCCTTGTAAGTTTATTCTCTGAAATAGATGTCTTCAGTATTGAGTTCAAAGCTAACTCTTCAGTGGAACTTACATTAACTTGATGTTACATTTTCTGTTACCTCTCTATTTTAGAAATGATTCTAGCTCTTATTTGCATGTATTAACTCTTCCTTGTTATTTGGTTAAAATTTCATTTAATGGTTAAATGAAGGTATGTTGTTTGGCTGCTTTGTAAACAACTTCAAACCCCCCCCCCTTTTTTTTAGTGCTCCCCTCTTTCCAAGGTGCTGCATATGTATGGATTTTTCTCTTGTCTACAATGTTTGGTATTCAATGAGCAGCTTACCATGATGAACAAACGAGTTACATGTTCAGTTATTGCCTAAAAAAGGGAGGGGCTGCATTTTATTTCTTTAAAAAGAAATATATATCTCTTTGTTTTGTTTTATTGCATTTATGAATTACAGTTATATTGCACTTTTCCTCCAAGGAACTCAGGTGGCATACATGATTGTGTCCTTTTAATCCTCACAGCAACCTTGTGAGACAGCTTTGACTGAGAGACAGTGACTGGCCCAAAGTCACACAGCTTCATAGCTTGAATAGGGATTTTAACCCTGATCTGCCAGATCCTAGTTCAGCAACCTGCTAAACTTTGTATCATACTTAATCTTTCTATTGTTTATACCACTGTGGACTAGAATAGGGCTCTCTACACTCCTCTGCAGGTTGCCTCTGCCGTTGTAGCCTAGTAATTTCCCTGATGGTGATACATTGGCAGTCATGAAGGATTGTGCTGCATGTGAAAAAAAGCATATAATTTCCCGATTACATATGGGAAAAGCAGTTCACGGTTCTGTCACCTTGGTTACTATGAGAAGCATTGAGCCAATACTTTGGAAAGCAGATGAGCTGATGAATCTGTGCTGGATATTGTTGTTTGCACTGACTTTACGATAATATCATCAGGATTTCTCATTTCTTTTCAGCTGAATTTGCTACATACCTGAATTTTTGCCGCTCGTTGCGTTTTGATGACAAACCGGATTATTCATATCTAAGGCAATTATTCAGAAACCTCTTCCACAGACAAGGCTTCTCCTATGACTATGTATTTGACTGGAACATGCTGAAATTTGTAAGTAGTCAGCTAACTTTTTTTTTTAATTGTGAAAAACTGAGAATGAGAGCTTGATATCTGACATTGAGTGCTGGAGGTGAAATAATATATTTCACAGTGCTTGTTCATGTTTGTAGCAAATGGCAGTTTGGTATGAACTGTTACAAGCAATAAAACTGAAACCAGTTTTAGCTTTATAACAGGACTAGTGGTTAAAGTATCAAACTGCAAATCTGTGAGCACTCACCTGGGAGTAAACCACATTGAAACAGTGTGATTTGCTTTGTAGTAAACAGGCTTGGGATGCCTCTGTCAATCCTTGAAGACTGGGTTTCTATGTATATGAGTGGCAGCTTGCAATGTATCCAATTGTAAATAATCAAAGCTGATGATCTGATGTTGTCTCATTCCTTGCCTAGCTGTAAGAGGTTGTGCACATTTACCATAATCACTCTGGGGGACCAAATGGGTTCTCTGGGTGTTGTCTTCAGCTATTTTATAATTTGTAATGACCAGAAGGTATGGAAGCTGTAAGATGACTGTAGAATGACATTAAAATTTATGATATAACTGCATTACTTTGGTGGTCAGCTTGCGGTCACTTACCTTGTAGCAAAAACTTGGAAGCTTTGGAAGACTTTGTAATTGGCAACGGTACTTTCAAAGATGGGGACGCGGGTGGCGCTGTGGGTTAAAGCCTCAGCGCCTAGGACTTGCCGATCGAAAGGTCGGCGGTTCGAATCCCCGCAGCGGGGTGCGCTCCTGTCGCTCGGTCCCAGCGCCTGCCAACCTAGCAGTTCGAAAGCACCCCCGGGTGCAAGTAGATAAATAGGGACCGCTTACTAGTGGGAAGGTAAACGGCGTTCTATGTGCTGTGCTGGCTCGCCAGATGCAGCTTGTCACGCTGGCCACGTGACCCAGAAGTGTCTGCGGACAGCGAGGCCCCCGGCCTATAGACTGAGATGGGCGCACAACCCTAGAGTCTGTCAAGACTGGCCCGTATGGGCAAGGGTACCTTTACCTTTTACTTTCAAAGATAGAAGTTACATACCCAAAGAGAAGACATAATTTGTACTGCATTTGCTTGCTTTCAGTTGCTCACATTTTGTTTAGATTTTTGATTAACAAGAGATCCTACTTTAAAACAGAAAAAAGCCTGACATTCTGTATTTATAGCAAGACAGACGAGAAAGCAGAAATATTGTATGCTTGTGACAGTGGCTCTAGCTGGATTTCCAAAGTGTTTCTTGTTTCTTCCAAAAGCAAAAACCTTGCTACCTTTTCTAGTTTTTATTAACAAAACACTATTTGGATGTTGGGTCTGTATATCTATGTGTATGTGCATGTATTGTTAGAGAAATCTATAAGTTTGGTTGGGGATTTAGGATTAAAACATGATAGACTCTGACCTGGTTGAGAAGCAGGGTACAGAAAAAATGGTAAAGCTCACTGCTTAGCTACTAGAACAAGCATTTGCAATGTTTTCTTTCACATGTAACCACAAGCTGCCTAGAACAGGGAAGTATCGCTACGCAGGGTAAACAGTTTCTTTTAGAAAAATTTGAAACATGTTGAAACTTTTGCTTGTACCTTCCATTTAATTTTAAGGAAGTGAACCCTGTACTTCACATGACTATGCATAAAAATCTTTTGAAGTCTACATGTCTGCAGAGGACTCTCTGACTCTCATGGGGTCAGAGACCACTCTCTCGGGTACTTGAATAAAGAGCTAAGGTGAATCTCTGCATGGTTTCTGATTTACACACACATATATGATTAAAATAAAATTAACTATGTTTTTTAAATATAAAGAACTCGGTGTGTATGAGATGTTGCACAATAATCGGCATATGCATTTCATACTCCTGAGATTCAGTATGCCATTCTTTGTGACTTGCATCCATCTTTCGTCCTTCCCTAATAGACGCTATTGAATATCTGTATCTCAGTGTTAGTCATTCTTTCTTCTGCAAATGTGATACAAGTTGATGTCACACCATTCTGTTCTGTCTGGAGCATGTTTACATTACAGACCACAAGGAAAAAAACTGTCTTTGTATCAGTTCAATACATTTTAGGTTTGCCAAAAATTTTGGTCCCTGAAAATCCACTCTGAGGCAGAAGCCTTGCTAGAAGGCCATGTGGTGACTTGTACACCAGTTCTTGGAACCAAAGCAGGCCTATATTGATCTGTTATACTCATGTGCAGTCACATTTCTTCATGATAATGAAGAAATATTTTGTACATCATTCACACCATAGATCATAGGGGTATCTTTTCAGTGAGATAGTTCATCATCAGGTAATTACTTTATTCTGTTAAGAATTCCCTATTCTGCCTGCCTTTTTGCAGTTTCCAAAAGTGTGCCTAACCCCCTCTCAAAAGCCTGGGCAAAGAGCTGTGTCTTCACTTGTCGACCCAGCAGATAATATTGGTGCAATATGTGTGTCAGCAGGGAGGAAGTCATCCCATAGGTGAGGAACCACCACCAAGAAGGCCTTATCCACCACAACCTCCTATCCTTCACTTGGTGATGGAAGCATAAATGTGACCTCCGCTACAGATGTTAATTACCTGGTAGGCTGATAGAGAAGGAAGTGTTCCTTCAAGTACTTGGCCTCCAGGTCCCTTGTGGCTTTAGATGTGGCAGCAAAGCACCCTAAACTGGCCTTCAGAATAATTTGTTAGCCGCTTAGGACCAGTGTTATGAAGTCTCCCATAATCCATTTTGTTTCTGAATCATTGATTTCCAGTCCAATTTCACACTTTCTGCTTCAGCTGTTGCATTTCCCTCTCTAATTCTATTGTAACATTAGTAAATATTATGCAGACATCAGCAAAAGGCAAAACGTGTTAGGTGATAACTTGCTGGTGTTCATTCCACACTTGGTTTTGTTGTTTTATTTAACAGTGATTACAGTGATTTCAGAACTACAACACATGGGTTTCAGGGAAATTGTCGCTTTGCTTCACACCTTTTGCTAATAAAAATGCAACATGGATAGTGATCTCTGTAGTATGGTTTTTGTTTGTTTGATCAAGCAAATTGTTAAGCATTTGGTCTATATGGAGATTGTGCAGTACATTGAGGATAGCATTGGATTCAGTGGAGCTAAAATACTTTCTTCCAGCTGACAAAGCCAAGAATATAAGAAGTGTAATTTTCTCACAGTAACCAGCTTTAAGCACAACAGCACTCTCCCCAGCACCTGATATTCAGATGCATGCACTTCCAATACTGGAGGTATCTGCCAAGTAAACCAGCACCTGATATTTCTTCTCTCTACTTTGGGTAGCTACCAGGCTGAATATTTGTGACTGATTTCCAAGAATCATCAACATAAATCCCCTATTCTTTGCTGCTGTATAAGAAGAAAGACATCAGGATTGCCTTTAAAATATTGTCTGATGCTACCACTGTTCTTTTGTTTTTAGTGTAGACATAGAAGTGTTGTGCAACAGCTTTGAACAAATGTATTTTCCAACTTTGAGCTATTTTGGACAAATACTATAGGTACCCGGGTGTTTTCTTTGTATCTTCTTAGCAATTGCAAGTTCTACATCCTCTGGCATCATGGATATGTTCCATGCTGGAAGAGCAGATTTTGTCTGCTCTTAGTAGGTAATATTGTATGAAATTGTGGCAAATAAGTATTTTTTTAATATAGAGAACTAAATCCTGTTAAAAATTTAAAAAATATTGTGACCACCATTCATTTCCCTTTTTAAAAATAGGTACGGGCCTGAGAGAATAACCTGCTACCTTCTGAGTCTGTGTCTGATTTGGACCCAGGGTCTGCTTTTCCCTGCTGACTGTCTTTCAGTGGTCCAGATAAGCTCAGCAGCGTAGCATTGACACTGCAACTACTCTCAACACTGAACACAGGTTTTTAACTAATTGATTCCAAATGTTGGTATAATGCCAAATTACATGTTCTTGCAGGGTGCAAGCCGTGCAGTCGAAGATGCTGAGCGTGAACGAAGAGAGAGAGAAGAAAGACTGAGACACACACGAAATCCTGCAGTTCGTGGCTTACCTTCCACTGCCTCTGGAAGGCTGAGGGGGACACAAGATGTAGCTCCACCAACCCCTCTTACCCCAACTTCACATACAGGTAAGCCAAAGAATGCCTTGAGGTGGGCTGCCTTCTAGTTAATCACTTCTTCCTCTTGCCTCCATTCAACACCTCAAGGCTTTTAGGGGGTTGGGGGGTAGGAGACTCTTCTTCTGCTAGTCTGTTTTGGCATGGTTATCTTTGAATCCAACCCTCAACATTTAAGAACAGTATTTTATAACATTAATTTCTTGACTTGCAAGCCTCTCCCTTGTTAGGCATCAAAGGGGACTGAGTGCCTTATGGGTTTAATAGTTCTGACATTATGAAGGTGCTTATAAAGTGATGCCTCTGTCAGCTTCCCTTTATTGCAATAGTTTATTTTGTCTAGTAAATACAGGCACAAAATTAAGTTTTACTTTTTTTTTTTGGTCAGCAAACACATCTCCTCGGCCAGTGTCTGGAATGGAGAGAGAACGGAAAGTGAGTATGCGATTGCATCGTGGGGCCCCTGTCAATATCTCCTCGTCTGATTTAACAGGCCGACAAGATACCTCACGCATGTCAACCTCACAGGTACAAAACAGTTCTGATTTTTTTTATGGGGAAAAGACTAGGAGCTCAGTAATGTCCTTTGACAAGATCAGAGTAAAAATACTCTTTGAGTAGGATAGATCGTCTCACAATTATGTTTAGACATGCCATTCTCTTAGTTGATCTGAATTAGCTGAAGAACTGCTACTTGTGAAGTCCTTAGCTTTCTGACCTTGAAGTTTAAGTGTGATGGAGGGTGTTGTATAGGTTATTAAAATTGAGGGCTGGATACCTCCCTTGTTTAATGCCTTTTTGGATATTTGTGTATTTGCAGGATACAGACTTTTAACAGCCATGGAAATATCAGTGACTTTTACTATACTATGTGAATCATCAACTGACTTAAATGTCATGTTTTCTTCTAACCACTGCAGATCTCAGAAGCCTTGTGCAAATGAATCAAAGCTATTACTTGTTACATTTCATGCCGAAGAAGGATCAATAAGTGCTCTCCTTTTATCCTTAGTACAGACTCAATTTGTCCAATATTACACATGGGCAATGTAAATTGTAGCCTTAGTCATCAGTCATTTGTTCTGTAGTGTCTAGTTGCAAAGTTGCACCCATTTGGCAATTTTGACATGGCTTGAGCTGTATTTTCAAATAAATTGCCATTTATGGAAAATAGCTACCAGCTTCTGTCTGGTATAAGTGACCATCTGTAATCATATCCGGTATAAGAGGAGTGTGCTTAAAGCTACTGTAGCACTGAAATTGTTATGCCTGTGAAATACGAGGTTGAAAGAGGAATGATCTGTCTTGCATTCTTTGTATTACTTTGTTAGGTACTATTCATTCTAGTTTGATTTTCTTGTAGAATTTGCTAAAGCTAGAAGTAAAAAATGATTTCCAAATTAGCCCTGGGCATGCATCCTTGTTGAAAGTATGGAGCTAAACTAGACTAGTTGTTGTGAATGAGTCTGTACCTGACTGCAGTAAGCAACCTTCTTGACCATGGGACAGCTAATTGCAGATTGTAACGTTTTGCCTACAGCATGCATTACTGGTTTATTTTAATAACCTGTGGCATATGTTCAGAGAATTTCAGTTGAATTACAGCACAGCTCACATAACAGGCTGTAAGTGTAAATTAATGTTGTATAAAAGAAAGAGTATTTTTGGAAGATAAATGCATATCCTGCATGGTTGTGCAGTGGAATGACAATTGACTCCATTTTGTTGGTCATTTTTTTGTTTGTTTCCAAACAGAAGGAAAATGTTTGTCTGGTGCTTGAAGAGAGGATATTCACTAACATTTGTAGCTTGAAACATTCCAGTTTCTTACTCCATTCTAGATTCCCTCACAATATGTGTGCCACACAACCAAACAAGGCTTGGATTTCATGCAAGTCCTATAGTACTTTACAAAATGAAGCTTTGTCTCATGAAAGCCACAGCAGGGGACTCTAGGCTTTCTCATTCCAAAATAGTAGCTAAAAAACCAGTTGTGAATTTCTGAACAGTGATATTGTTCAGGTTTGATTCTAAGAGAAGGGTGTATGTATGAGAACCAGAGAACACACTAAAATTTTGGGAAGGCCAGATCAGGAGAAGAGCCATTTGAAGGCATTGGCAAATTGATCTTTGACTTTGTGTCAGTTGAAGAAATGCTAAAGGAGCAAAAGGTTCTACAGCTGAACAGGACATAAATGTGGATGTTGCAGTTGGTGTTTAGAGCACCAAGCATCAAAACTCAAACAGTCACAAATGTTAGACAAGGGCAGCAGATGTCACAGGAGCTTTTAGTAGCTTTAAAAATAGAAAACCCTCAAACCAGTGGTGCCTGTTTGTTGGAAAGATAATTGAGGGTTAAAAGTTTTTTCGTTAAAAGTATAAAGGAGGAAATGTGTTGATTATGGTTAGTTTGGATTAACTGTTGCAGTAAGAAAAAAGTGAGATTGTTTTACATCATGGCTATAGTGAGTTCCATTGACCACATTGGGACTTGGTTTTTGAGTAAAGATGCATAGAATTGTTCTTTGTTTACTTCACAAAAGTCAATAAAACTTCTGCTTTTTTGCTTTTGTTATATCAAAACCATCATAAACTTTTGTCTATGACTAGTAGTTACTGCTAAAGGTATGTTGTTTGACTCTAGCTCAGAACCATCACAATTCCTCAAATGCTAAATAGTATCTGATACAAAGAGCAAAAGCCTTTTGGGAAGACAGTCTTTAATTTAGAACAATATGGAATTTCAAGTTTCAACTCCATAGGAGCACAGATTTTGTCACCCATCACTAGTGTTCGCAATAAAGTGATTAAAGTTTATTATACTATATACTGAGGCTTCAAAATGAAAGATCTAGTCCTTAAACAACACAAGATTTTCTGGAAGCCTAGAGTCTGTACCTAATAGGCATTCTTTATCATACTGATTATAAATACCGTATTTTTCGCTCTATTGGACGCACCGGACCACAGGACGCACCTAGTTTTTAGAGGGGAAATCAAGGGAAAAAATATTATCTCCCCCCCCCAGCCCCAAAGAGCAACGGACAGGCTGCATGCAGCCTGTCCACTTCTCCCAGAGCTTCTCGGGGCTGCGGGGGAAGCCCGGGTTCCCCCCCCCCCCAGCCCCAAAGAGCAAAGAAGCCAAGACAGCGCGCGGGGTCCATAGCCGCACAACCTCTCCAGCCAGGAGCTAAACCTCTCCAGTGCAGCTAAAGAAGAAGACAAGGCAGCAAGCGCGATCCATCCCGCTCGCTGCCTTGGCTTCTTCTTTAGCCTTGCGCCGCATCTTTAGTCTTGTGCAATGGGATGGATTGCGCCTGCTGTCCACCGGGGCTGGACTAGATGACTCCTGGGGTTCCCTTCCAACCCTGCAATTCTATGACCTCAGAAGGTGTTTGGGGTCTCCACCACTGGAGGCTTTTAAGCAGCGGTTGGGGGACCATCTGCCTGGCATTCTTTAGCTGTGATTCCTACATTGTGAGGGGGCTGGGCTAGATGACCCTCGGGTGTCCCTCCCAACTCTATACAGTCCTACAGTTCTGCGGCAGGAGATCCACAGCCACTTCACACAATGCCCACTCCCAATTTTCATCTGAGAGACATGTGGCTTCAGTGTCTAGGTAGGTACCCCCCTACCTGCCACACTTCCCCCACCCCACTTAAGCTGGGGGAATTCCTGCCAAGAGAAGCTCCCAGCAATCACGGAGGAGGAATCCACTGCAGCTGTGATCAGCGGAGGATGTATGGTCCCCTTTCTTCCCTCCTCCGTAGTTGCTTTGAAGCAGGAAAGTGGGGGAGGAGCTGCTTACACGAGTGTAAGCTGCTCCCCTCCCACTTTCCTGCTTCAAAGCAATCACGGAGGGGGGGAATCTGCTGAAGCCTCCAGCAGCGGAGGATCCATGGTCCCCTTTCTTCCCTCCTCCGTAGTTGCTTTGAAGGAAGAAAGTGGGAGAGGAGGTGCTTACACGAGTGTAAGCTGCCCCCCTCCCACTTTCCTGCTTCAAAGCAATCACGGAGGGGGGAATCTGCTGAAGCCTCCAGCAGCGGAGGATCCATGGTCCCCTTCCTTCCCTCCTCCGTAGTTACTTTGAAGGAGGAAAGTGGGAGAGGAGCTGCTTACACGAGTGTAAGCTGCTCCCCTCCCACATTGCCGCCTCAAAGGAAGCACGGGAGGAGGGAATCTGCTGCAGCTTCCCCCACCTCCCGCAGAAGCCGCACGCTCTTTAAAGGGGCGGTGCGGCTTCTCCTGGCTTTTCTGGGAGGTGGGGGATTCCCCCACCTCGTAGAAAAGCCTGCAGGAGCCGCACAGCCTTTAAAGAGGGCGCTGCTCTTGGGGGCTTTTCCCCCAGGAGGGAGAAGGGACTGCTGCAGCCAGTCAGTCCCTTCTCCCTCCTGGAGAAAAGCCCGCAAGAGCGCACGAAGCTTGTATGCGGCTCTTGAGGGCTTTTCCCGCCTGCCTCCCCCCTGCATTCGCTCCATAGGACGCACACACATTTTCCCTTGCTTTTTAGGAGGGAAAAAATGCGTCCTATGGTGCGAAAAATACGGTACATTCTTAACACCATACTTTTGCTTGATTTGAATGCTACTCTCGCAAAACAGATGGTAGTTTTTTGAACGAGTCTCTGAATCTCTTTTTCCTCTTGTTAATATCCAACAAATGTCTACTCCAAGACATGAATAAGAGGTGTATAAAGCATATTTCCCCCTTCATTCAATATACACTGGCCAGATTCACAGTGGATAAGATCTCCTTGATCCCTACTCTAAGATCCTGACATTGCATGCTGGGATGGAGCTGGGGAAGATGTTTCTCTCTAGGATTTAAATGAGTGTGTCCTGTGGGTGTATTGCAGACTTGATAATTTTGAAGAAGGAAAAATAAACCTTTTGGAGTTTTGAGACTATCTCTTTTATCTTCCATCTGTAAAGCCAAGCTCCAGCAGACCTCGAAGGAAGAGGAAGAAAGTGCGTATTTTAACAACTTAAATGACCTGGAATAAAGCACTTTTAGACTCTGAGGTGTAGTTGCTTGCTTTCCTTTACACCAGGGCCATTGAAAAGCAGAACAAATTGCATCTAATATCTGCAAATCTTGTTTTTGATCCATTGAACTTAGAAGGCAGTAAACGTCCAATAAGTCTTGTCTAGATCAGGGTGTCTCTTTCCTAGCTCTCTGTTTGTGATGATGGTTTGCATTGCACATTTAATTGGTCATTTTCATCTGAAATGACTACCTTATACAAAATGGGTGTGGAACTGTGAAGTTTGCCTTGGCTGTGTTAAATGGGAAAAAAGTAGTTTGAAATATTTCTGTACTGCTCCAGCAGAGATCCTAGGACCAATTACAAAAAATGTGTCAATAGACCGACCCTCCACCCCCTTCAAATCATTCATGAGTGTGTAATAGTTCTACCAGCTCATGAATTTAGTGCAGTTTGTTTACTTTTTTTGTTTACTTGTTTAAAGTAAAATAGCTTATTTAAAAGCTTAAACTGGTTCAGAAACATACTTTAAACATATTCGCAGTATTTCAGGATGAGACGACTGCTCATTCTGTTCTCAGGACCTCGTTTCAAAAACACCTGACAGGTTATGAGCCAAACGAGACTAAAACTTCAGTTGGTTCATCTTGTAAATATAAATACCTTGGAAACCTGGCTCATTAAACGTTAAGAATCCCCAAAGTGAAAATCCAAGTAGATAAATTCCAAACTGATTAAGGTAAATTCCCTTTTACTAGCTGTAGCCCTCTCTAGCTGCTTTGCTGCCATTGTCCTTCCTTGTACTTAACTGGACAATGGGGTGCTACTTCTCTATATAAGTAAGAAGCAGTTGTGGGTTAAACAGTGGAATTCAAACCAAAAAGGATCCACTCCCAATTTCTGTAGTAGATCATGTTAGCTTCCATTGACTATAAAAACTTCGGAGGATGATTAGTCTGATGGCACTGATGTTCCTTGGTATATCATCCCTGTCTGCTACAAAATGAAGTATCCTGGTATATGAGCCCTCTTGCATGTACCTCATTCTTCCTAGCAAAGGGCAAGTATTTCATAATAAATTGTTTGAATAATCTGTAATGTGCAACTATTTTTTTCAAAAACTGAGCAAGGTGCTTCACAAAATGGTATCATAATGCAGTGGAGCGTTACACTGCGTACTTGATGCAATTACAAATGACCCTCTTTGCTAAGTCACAAATGTATGAAATTTCTGTGACCTACATTTTCTATTCAGACTCTTGCAAAAGAGAATGAAGATTAAGAGTATGGAATCCAGCACTTCCTGAACGAAAAGGGATTGGTCTATCACAATAGCTTTTAAATACTGTTTCAAAAATATCCTTCTAGCCAAACTTGAGGCTTTTGAGTTTGGAAATGAAGATGTACGGAGTGTAGTGCAGTTGTTTCTTCAATGAAATTGGCTGCGCTTTTGAAATTTTCCACTTTCCTGGGGTGCGTGAGAGTAGCCCCTGCTAAGTAGCAAATGGTACCAGCCCACACTTCCTTTGCCACTGTAACATCTATCAGCAGAAAACTGGCTATGCTTCTGGCTCTCCGCCAGTAATTTTACATCAGTTGTCTGCCTATGCATCCTTCCTGGTTACTGGCTTGAACTGCTTTCCCCATGCTATACTATAGTGCTGTGCATGGTAGCCTGTAGGGGCGGGGAGTTCAGCATTGTGGTGTAGAGGTTTAGCAGCAACAAAACACAGGTTGGCTAGTCCCTTAACAGAACTACAGTATACAAACGTGTGACGTCCCTTTCTGCAAATCTCTGTGTGCTGACACACTGAAATATTAAAGGTCTTGCTGTCTTCTTTCCTTTGAAGATTTCCACTTTAGTACTAATTTCTTTGGCTAAATGTCTTTGCTACCACTTTTAGAGAGTTTCCCTTGGTCATGAAGACCCTGCTTTCCTAACAAATCACAATTCTTGCAGTAGGTATAATACAGCCTACTTACTATGCTTATGTTGCCATGAGATCAGTCAGATATATATATATATTGTAATTTTTCATAGTTACAATCCAAGCACAATAGCCCTCTTCCACAGATCCAAAGCATCTCAAACGTGATTAAATTATGTGAATTCTTATCTGGCACCCCAGTAATATTTCATCTGTCAGCATTAAATCCCAGTAATGATATCTTTAACGATTTCCTTGGTGACCACTCTAGCAGGTACACCAGGGGATGGGTTGTGTGTGGAGCCTGCGGGGAGCTGAGAATTTGAAGTTGCTGCAGAGAAAGAAAGGCAGAAGGAAGAGCAAATGAGACAAAAGGCAGAAGATGGTGAAGAAAGAAGAGTTAATAAAGATCAGAGAAGTGATTTAAGAGGGACAATTTTCTTCTCAAATGTTTGAATTCTACTGTACAGTATTAAATAAAACTGCTAAACTTTTAGGTCCTTTACACTGACCAGATTCATGCTTTGGCCTCTGCCAAAAATTCCTTCCAGTTGGTATGGTAGGTGGTTGTGGGCCAAGTGACACGATTCCATACTTAGTGGCCATATAGGAGATCAAATGGAAAGACTAATGTTGTGGTTCATGCTGGGTTGCTAAAGTTAGAGAGTCATAAAGTAGGGTGGGCAAAAGCCTTCCCTAGAGGATGAATAGAAGGAAAGCCAGGCTGCAATGCAGAAGTGCAATCAGTTTTTCCACCTTCAAAATCATAGTGGTTGGGCGGAGAATATTGGAAATGGAGCAGGGTTTCTTGGAACAAAAAATACACAAGGTATGTCTAAATCTGAAAATGGTTGGCATTCTGTCAGACATCTGGCAAGAAAGCCCCACCTCAATCATATGCATACCTCCAGACTACTGTTGGGGGCACTGGTGACCAAATGTTCCTCAGTACACATACCTCTGAAATCTTTCCACATGGAAAACTAGATGTTTGGTGGAAGGGTTCTAGCCTTTTCCCTGACCTACTTCTACATATGAATTGAATCTCTTGTATGAAGGAGTATTTTGTTAATGTAAGCCCCCATTCGTGATCTGAAGAGGTACAACCTACACACAAGTTTATCACTTCAACAAAAAATGGGACTACAGAGGCTCTGCCTTTTGAGAAAATACAAAAAGAGGACTGCTCCCTCTAGATCACTCGAGAATAGTCTTGACACATACTTGGATTCATAGGCCTATTATCTAATGTGCAGGGGGTGGGCCGTATTCACTTTTATTGTTGTTGAATAACTGGCCACATTCCCTTCTGATTAATCTGGAGGTGGGCAACATGATGGCAGTGGAGAAGGCCAAAGCCAAAAGTGAACAAGCCACCCACTTCTCTCCCGCATTAGCAGGCTGGCTGGAGAAGGACAGATCACTGTTGCCAAAGGTTTGAACTGATAGCTTTAGATGGCTTCCTCTCCTCCATAGCTCTCCATTTCAGCTTCTCTTCTCCTTGCCCTTTCGTTTCCCTCTTTGGCTAGTGGTCTGAACAAATTGCTTACCAAGGGCTTCTCTACCCTCCATTGCTTCATCTCTCTTGGCTTCCCAACCACCAGTCTATCTTTTCTCCCTTCCTGCATGAAATTAGATTCTCACTCGTGGGCTAAAGGCTGTTTTAATGAAATTATTCTTCTCACTCTTTGCCTAAAGTCTGTTTTAATGAATTGCTGGCCAGCAGTTTTGTGTGTAGTGAAGCTGCAGGGACACTCCCCATCATACTCATGATATGATTCTGTATTTGTGCATGCAACTGTATGCACACCACCATAGATGGAACAGTTGCAGCTGTAAATCTGCATGCCATAGCATATCCTAGCACATGTGGTGGTAGTGCACGTGGCCTAATGGCCCCTTGTTCCTAAGGGAATTTCAGCTGACAGTTCCGTGAATTGATCCATATCCTCAGTATTGCTTTATCTTAATGAACTTTATTTGCTCATTATGTACATGTAATGCTGCTATATAGGTAGTGGTGTTTGGAGGTCTTCCCTTAGCCATTCCTTTTACTTCACATTCTTCTGTAAAAGCGGGCCTTTAATTAAATGATGCATTTGATTCATCAGGTGTGTTCTAACCTTTCTCTCTTATTGTTTTAAACACAAGTTTTCCCAAACATGTTCAGAGGTTCTGTTCTTTTGGAAATTCTGGTTGTCCTTTTCCATTACCATGGGAAAGATGCAGGGGCATCTTTGTTTTGGTTAGAAAACAAAATTGGTTTACGTTCTTGATTATCATGTACACAGATTTCCTTTTTGCTACCTGAATGGCATAGTGTCTTTTACAAACTCATTTATGAAGAATGCGATGTCTTTCAAGCTTGGCCATCTTCTGAAGGATGGGAAGTGCTGATGTGCCTTCTATGAATAAACAGTTGACCCTCTCACTTCTAGATGGCTTAGACTGCAATAAAAACTTTTGCTGCAATTTTGCTGAATTTAGCTTTACATACTTGGAGATGGGTAGAGGGCATTTAAGGCTTAAACTGAATGTTTCTTCTGATGTTGCAGTGATTGCCCCCAAAGTAAGAGGGCCTTTCTCTCCTCTCGCCCCACTTTTTTTTACATAGATAAGCTCCACCTCCAGCTGCTAAGTGTTGGTGTATGTATAAGTGTGAACATGTGTTAACTGCTCAGTGCATAAAGGAAAGGGGGCATTGAGAACCATTGGGGGGGGGAATAGACTTGAATCAGGAAGCTGTGATCCCTACTAACTCTACTTGACCAGATTGAATGAAAAACTTGGCATTTATTAGCTTTAGAAATGTATTGTACATCAAACCTGTTTCCCTGAGAATATGAGATTCTTTTGAATTGCCAGTGTTACAAACAGAGATGTGGTGGATCTGTAAGGTTAGTAAGCCTGCAAGATCTAAGTTGTGTGCTGTCATGGAGAGAGCGTAAAAGGCCTGCTGCTTTAACTCTCAAAGTTGTGCCCATATGCTTGTTTGTGGATCACAGCCTGAAGGCTGGCTTCAGATTGAGCTGGTACACACTTTAGTGCTAATGAGATGAGGGTTCTCTTCCATTGCAAAGAGTTTTGAAATACTGTGCAGAGTAGTCGCTGTGACACAGGAAAATGTTTTTTGAATCAGTGGCCAGTGCTGGCGATAAACAGTTAACATGATGGTGATGCTTTTGAGCTGAGAGTTACTGGAACAAAAAGCACCTCCAAAAACTGTTGGTTGCCACCTGCTGCTGAAGCAGCCTTTCTTTAAACCACTAGTTGTTGAAAACACATTCCTTAAAGTCAGGAAGTTGTCAGCTTTGTAGGGGCTTTCAAATCGCTGAAGAATCAGTGTCTGCGAGGCCTCTGAATCAAGAACCATTCCAAATTCAGAGCAGCTCCAGTTAGAATCATAGTTGGGGATTATATATTGGGCAGTGGAATTGTTACAAATGGCTGTCTTTTCCCCCCACCTCAGAATAGCATTCCTTTCGAACACCATGGCAAGTAGCTGCTCGTCTCCTTCTCGTTGGAAAGCAGCACTGGGTGAGTCCATTCTCACGAGACACCAGCTTGGCGGGTGGGTTTGGATTCACTCCTGTGGGGACATCAAATTGGGTGGCTTTTCATGTCTTTCAGCACTTTATTTCCTTCTACCTTGCAGATAACCTTAGTAGTAGGTGTGCTTCAAATTAATTAAAACTATTTCCCCCCCCCCCTGAAAAATTATAGTACTTCACTAGAATTGCTCCATAACGGTCGATAGACCAGATGGTATATTTGCAGGGTAACCTACAGTGTGGTACTGGAATATTTAAGGTCCTTCATGTGGCATTTTTTTCTCGCTTGGAAATTATCTCCCAGTAAAGGACAGAGTACATGCCTTGTTTAGCCTTCTGTTTTTCTGCTAATTCACTAGCCTGGTGTATATGTCTGTAAACCAAGCAGTGACTTACCAGGACTACTCAAATATGTAGGCTTCTGCTTCTAAGCTGAGTTTTAGCTTAGTGCATCATCTAAACCTGGACTTGTGCTTAAGCCCTCTCCTTACTATAACTATGAACTGTGGCCAAGAAAATCCCATACAACTCATGGTTAGCGAAAAAGAACTTGTCGACCAGCCTGAGCTTGGCTGACATGCTCAGCCAAACTTTGGCTTAGCATTTTATTAATTTATTTTTATTTATTAAATTTGTTGGTGACTTTATCTTGTCCAGGGCAGCCCAAAGTGACGTACAGCCAAACAGACAATAATTTTAAAAATCTGATGTAGGGGTACACAAGATTTGGAAGAAGATGAGCAGCTGCTAGCTGCTCTCTGGGAGTCCTCAAATTTGCAGCCTCCATAAGCTTACTGTCTTTGGCTTGCCGTGATTTACGAACCATGCCATTGAATCTTAACCAATTTGGAATTGTACCAGATATAGGAGAAATGCCACATCTGAAGGGGGCCTTAGTTCTGCTAATCACAAGATTATTACATGTTTGCTATTAAAAGTTAGAATTGACTGTTGTGTCTTATATAAGACCTGCATTCCTGAGCAAATTTAAAGTTAATTATAGTACTGAGCAAATTTAAAGTTAATTATAGTACCCTATTGCAACAAAACATGTGAGTCTTTTTTAAATAGTTGAGAGTCTGCAAGAGGTGTTGTTGCAGAACTAGAACAGACTCCTTGTATCTTAGCAGAAATCGGATCAAACATTTTAAAATAACTTAAAACTGGATAGAGCAATAAAACTCAATCACACACCAGTATCCAGTACTGTGAAAAGTTAGGCTAATATTGTCTTTTAATTGGCTAATTTAAGTATGATTAGAACAGAGCATTAATGCATCCTTTTACTCTCGTCCCTTTCCCACAAGCAGCCAAAGATTAAAAAAACATTTTCAAACTGACAATGAAGATGAAACTGTGCCTCTAGACTCTTTACAGGAGACTTCTAAATGGTTGCATGGATAGAAAATGAATGGATGCCTGTGAGAGCAGCAGTTCTAAAGCTTATCCATTGATTGATCTTTTTGTCTTGACGATAGAAGGAGCTTCAGCAGAGCAAGATGAAGTGTGTGTGTGTGTGTGTGTGTGGACAATCTGTAGCTTGTTGCCAACCTGTAGAGGCTGTTCCTTTTGCTTTTCGGTCAGACTGAATTCTTGTTGCTTAGATCCTATTATTGGGCGCTCTCCCTCTCCCCGCCATTGTTATAACTCCACATTACACTAATCTCTCACTACCTTATTTCTCTTCTCCCTGCTGCTTTTACGTTCGTTTGATTCCATAGCCCTTTACTTTGTTAATTACATTAGCAAACTGATTATCCACATGGGTCAGATCATCTGGATAATCCAGCTGTTCATATTTTCGACTGAGCGAGAGGATTCTCTTCTGAACCACCTTGAATGAAGAGTTCACACTGGGTCCTCCTAACGGGATGCTTCCTTCTGCTTGTCTTGAGAGTGTGTTAAAACAAAGGCTGGACCACAGCAGAGATGTAGAGTGCCTGTACTTTGTACTCTGTGGGAATTTTTCAGCTAGCTTACCCCACTTCACGTGGTGGGAGGTGGCAGCGGTGGCGGTGGCGGCAGGGAATTGAAATGGGTCAGGCAGCAAAGATCAACATTTTAGCAACTAAAGTGGGTAAAAATTGCCTCTGAGTGAAGAACTGTAGAATCCAGTCCACGATCAAGGTCTTTGTCTGTAATGATTAACCTCTTGTTGCATGTCAAAACATCACCGCTGCTGCAGTTTGACTTAATAACAGGTCCCTATGAACTGTGCATCAAAAGAATAGTCCCAATTCTTCCAAGGGTCAAAACTATGTAAACAGGCTATTTGTTGTCAGTCCAAACATTACACAGAGCTGAGTAGCTTAATTTTGGCTGCTGTAATATTGAATTTAGGATTGCTTCCACAAGGCTTGAACGAAGTATGGATGGATCCTTTGAAACCGTTCTTCTCACCATCAGATTTGTGCAAATCCACCTAGGTTGGCAGAGTTTTTATTCCTTTGCCACTGAAATTTTATTTTGTGGTTGTAAAGGAAGGGACTTCCTTTTGCACTGTCCCCATAACTTGTAGAGTGCATAATAGTTTCTTTGTTTTTTAAAAAAGGCGAACAGTGGTTTCCCATCCAACACATGTATATTTGAAGGGAAGAGACTGAGGCAAATTTCACTCCCATTCTTATGAAAGGAAACTTCAGTTTTCATTTTGAACCGAAAAGCCAGAGGACTTTCAGAGAATTTGTAGGTACCTCAATGGCTGATCAAAGTGTTGGGGCAATTCTTTAGAAATTGTTCCTTCGTTCAGGTATGCAGTGTGCTGAAGCCTCCACAAATTAAGACTGACAATGACTTCTAGATCCTAGAATTCACTTAATCCTTATCACTTTCAGCATTCTGGTTGTGATTGACAATCTACACTGCCAGGTTGGGCGCAAATTTCTGATTGCAGAGTTCATAGGGGCCTTGCTTAATACTGGCATATGCTATGGAAAGGATCTTGTAGAACATATTCAATACAGTGTTGCTGCTAAAAAGTTGGATTTCTTTTATATAACACTTGCATTTATCACCCTATCTCTTGATCTGGGTTTCATTACTGATTCAAGAGCTTACCCGAGTCATCCGGTCTTTTTTGCCAGCATGTGCTTCTTTCCTCGTTCTTCATACTATTTCTCCTTGTTCATGAGGTGCCTTTGTTGCCTTAGCCTTTACGCAAAAGGAAAATGCCATTCACTTCATGGGTGCCGCCTGTTGGGTGTAACGGCGATTCTGTCAGGACGTAGATTTGTGCACACTCATTTCATCCTTCTGAAGTGAATGCATCTGCTCAGTTGTATTGGCCAAGAAGACTTTAATGGATCAGTTTTTATGCCGTTTCAGTAGGTGTGGGCTGATATTGACACCCTGTTCCTTGGCTTCAATAGATTCCTGCTCTGGCGACGACCAGTATTCTCCAGTCTGCTGTGCATCGGTGAAATGTTGCCATTGAGGGGCAGATAATGCATGGCTGATCTCCTGTTACCAATGGCTTTTACTAGCAAAACTACCCCAAACTAGAGCAGAAGAAATAACACAACTGGATCTCTCTTGCTACTTAAAGATACTCGCAGGAACATGGACAGAATCCAGCAGTTGCCACTACAAGAGGCTTTGACCAGAAACCTGATAACCTTATGTGAACTCTAGCAACACAGCTGGAAAAGGAAGAGACGGTTTACAGCATTAACCGCCTGTTATTTAATAGCCATTTCAGTTCTCCCTCCACAGGCGGCAGCCTTTCCCCCCTTTTTATTGTTCTACTGTAACTATGAATCTTTTACTTGGTTTAAGAAAGTTTTGTATTCATTTTGCTAAGATTCTTGGCTTAACTCTCTGTAAAAACAAAAAATCAATCTCGTTTTTGTCTGATTTGGAACCTATGTAGAAATGTGAACAATCCTGAAGTTTAAAACAAAATAAAAACAAGACTTGAAACTTCTTGTAAACTTAAGTCAGGCAGGGAATGTGTAAATGAATTTGAACAGTCTGCTTTTATTTTACACTGTTTACTTTTGTATGGTCCCATTCTACAGAGGAGTATTCTCAATATTTTTTTTAATACATTTTTATTATCTTTGCTTTTGGCTGTCTTGTTCTTCCAGGGTTTTTTTATTTTTTTTAAAGTTCAGTCACCATGCAGCATAAACATATTTTTATTCCAATGTTTATTCGTCTCTAGTACTGTCCAAGAAAGAGCAGAAGATAATTTTAAAGAGAAGTAGCCAAACCCAGTAGAGGTGATAAGATCACTTCATAGACTCTGAAGAACAAAAGTCAAAGCTCTAAAATAACCTGTTCAGGAAGGTTTTATTAAGTGAATGTAAAATGTATTCATAGAGCAGGGTTCCATGTGAGTGACAGGATCCATGATTTCTGCTTGGTTTTTGGTACAGATGCCAATAAAATCTGAATGCTGTCACTGCGGTGTGAGCAGCGTTGTAGTAGGTGTGCTTCTCTTGAATACGCGGAGAACGACAAGTGCTTAGAGCTTGCTGCATTATGCCAAGGCTCCGAGCTATAAACAAAATGTTCCTGCTGCGAGATGCCAAGAGAACATTCAAGCTTGTTGAATTCTTTAATATTAAAGTGTGCAAGTCTGGAACAACTGGCCTTCAGCTGATGATATACTTAAGTAATGGCCAAAACACTTATCTTAGCAAATGAGTGTGCCAGCTATAAATATGGAAGAACCTTTGTTTTCATGAGCAATATATTTATCCCATTGTAATCTGGGAAAGTAGAAGGCATGTGAATCATACCAAATACCACTCAAAGTACCATCAGTCCCACCTGGGGAATGAAGATGCAATACATAGATATGTTGTGTTACTACTTTTTAATCAACAAATGTGAGATTCATGCTTCCTTGGAAACTTGGTGGCTAATAGAACTCCATGGTTTTATTTTGCTCTTAATTTGCAAAATTTTTTATTGTTTTAAAGCTTTGCCAGTTCCTTTTTAGTTTTGTGGATATGAACAATCTTGTCGCTTTCCTTTAGCTATGTTAGAACATTAACCAAGTGCTTATTTGTATTTTAAAAGTCTTGATTTGATGCAACCCACAATTGGGGAAGTGCAATGGGAATGTTTTTAAATGTTGGTCCATGGAGAATTTTGCATAACTGTATCACTTGGTTACTGTGGATGTTGGTTCTTTAGGCATGTGCACTTCCATTTTGTACAGTTCTACACTTCTGTGTGCTTTCTTTGTAAATACTTGTGGTCAAATGATGTAATGTTAGAGACTTATAAAGGCAGCCTCTTCTTCTCTATATATATCTGGAACCTTCAATTGCTGTACTATACTTAAAAAGTTGACTGATGCAAATTTCTAGACTTGTACTTGGTTGTGGGCAGTCTGCGCCCTTCCATTATAGTTAAATCCCACCATCACCTACTGAAAATATAGTTAGAATGTCTCTCTAAACCTGTGTACTGGTATCAAGTTATCTCGGAACACCTCATTTGTATTACCACTGTATTTGTGTACTTTAATAATTGTGTAAATAAATTCATAAGGACTTCTATCTATTTTGCCTTTATTTGCACATCTAATGGGTTCTCTGCTTATAGAACAACATGTTTACTCAAAGCCAACTTGCAGAAATTTTAAGGCAGGGGTGGGGAACCTGCGCCCTCCAGATGTTGCTGGACTACAACTCCCATCTTCTCAGTCTATCAGCCATGCTGTCTGGACCTGGTGGAAATTGGATACCATCAACACCTGTAGGGCTATAGGTTCCCCACCTGGGTTTTAAGGCCAGGCATCTGCTTTGGCTTTTGAGCTTTCTTGTGGAGTTAATTTTTTTTTTTTTTGCTAGCTTTTATAGCTTAGCAAGGCTTTCCCCTTTCCCCTCCTCTTGTGTGCTCCAGGAATAATATTGATTTCTAGATGAGGTACTTGTGAAGACAGCATTCTGCTGGGATGAGTGTGAAATTGACCTGGGGTGTGGCCAAGGAAATTTGAGGGGAGGTGATGGTAAAATCTTCTAGGAGTGTGATTGGGAGGAAATGGAAATTTGGAAGTGGAAAAAGCAGGGTGGATTTATCACCAAAGGGTGAGATACACTATAAATCAGTGGTTCCCAATTAGCCAAGTACTGCAGACCCCTACTTTTGAAATTTTTGATACCTGTATGGTAGTTTTTGTTATGTGGACTGTGCCACAGACCCCTAGGTGGGTTATGTGGACCCCTGCAGTCCACGGACCACCAGTTGAGAACCACTGCTGCAGACAAAAGTGGAAAGGAAGATGTCAGAACTCACTATTGAGCACAGAATAATAGATCTGGGTCTATCTCACTGTACCATGCATTTTTCAACATCGGGTGCTGAAACATTCATATAGCAAAAAGAGTCAATAAGTAAGAGCTGAGATGTAAACTTAGGAAACTAGTCAATATCAAAACTTGACAAAATGGAGTGATTCCTACCACCAGTGGCAGTCACAGTCTCTTTACTGTACCATGACATGTAGAAGCTCAGAAATAAAACCAGACATTATACAGTCATGTAGAATAAGCATGATTGTAATAAAAGTCACATGGCTGTTAAGCCTCCAGTGGGATTATTCCAAAAGTAGCAGGTCAATCTTTGGGAGACCTGACTCATCTAAAAGATTGCTGCACTATACTACTACCCAGCAGAATACTATATCCTGGAGTGGCTAAGCAAAACAAACAGTGAAACCTTCATGCCGTGGATGGTTATGTATCACTTACACTGCCGTCTTCAGTTGCGCTGCAGATAGGCTGTATTTGGTCGTTCCAAAATTGAGACAGACAAGGGCTTGTCCTTCACCTAGCAATATACCTGGCAGTAGAAGCTGGATATGCATGCAGAGGTGAACTCTTGTTTCAGTATTTTCCAAACCTTATTTTCTCTCCAACTGGAGGCACACATCACTTTTACAGCACTTTTAAGAGTACTTGAATAAGACCTCCTCTGTCCCTCTTGCAACAGCCTGCTGCATTAGTTTTGTTCCTGTTTTCCCTCCTTACGGCAGGACTCGGAGCAGCCAACAGAATACAGCAAGTACTCAGAATTAGAACCAACAATATTCTACATCATTACTAAAATGCATAACAGTAACTACTGAACCGTATTGAAAGAAGGATGGGGGGAACCATTTTAAATGTCAGGCAGTAAATAAGTACTTAACGCTGATCTAGGAACAGGATTGAGAGCTTGTTGAAAGCAAAGTTGTCAAGTGGAAGCAGAATACCAGTGCAAAGAACGATACTCAAAGCTCTTGAGGCAGGGAGTTCCACATACAAAACACAACCATAAAAGGTCAGGGTGCAGTCAGGGACTTTTCTTCCCCCAGCCCGCTTTCTGCCAAGAGGAAAGAGGTCAGCACCCCACCTCTCCTGAACTAGCTTGCTCCCTCACCTGCATGCAATTCCTGATTGCCCATGGCAGGAGTGGGAAACCTGAGGTTCCCCAGATGTTGCTGAACTACAACTCTCAACATCTATATCAGACATGGTCAGTGGCCCAGGATGATGGGAGTTATAGTTCAACTGCATCTGTTCTGCATCCCTGGCTAGTGGCTACTAGGCAAGCGCTTAAATACAAGGCTGATATAAATTTGCTTTTTACAAGTGGAAGCAATTTACTTTGGGTGCTTTTTGGATGGCCTTTTCATGGCCCAATTTGAGAAACGCTACTGTCAGGCACCGACCTACTTATTTTCACTTACTTGGTGTTCCCTCCACAAGACTTAGTCAGCACTGATGGGATGCTAGTGCCTCTGTTCATTCATCATAAAGAAGAAGTGCTGGCATGTCATTGGCTACATAATTATCTCATACTGCCTAGCTATAGCGCTAGGATTAGAGTTGCTTTGTCCAGCAAATAACTTAAAATCCAGAGAAGCTCTCTTACTGTATTAGTCTCACAAGGAAGCAACCTGGGTAGAGAAGGGCTGGGGGGCTTTATCTCTGGCCCCACCCTAATACATGGCTCCCTCTGCCATGCATGGGGAGATGTGAAGCAAGTAAGCCTATGCACAAAGATCTGGACAGGTGTTGGCTTCCCTGGGTCCTGGAACACTGTTAAGACTTCCAGTATCCAGGGAAGTCTCAACATTAGAGGCCTCCCTGCTGCAGGCAATAGGAATGGGGAGCCAAGCAGAGGTGTGCTGTTAGGAATGGGACCAGAGACACAGCCCCACACTGCAGCTTCATGAGAACAAAGTGAAGGGGGCCAGAGTTTCGAAACAACCGCCTCTTTCTGGACGTAAAGGCTTTCTGTATGAATTTATGTCACCTGTACTTAATGAGAGTAAAGAACAATTTTGTCTGGTGTTTCAACATTTAGCAAAAACATTTCTTCAAAACATTTTTAATTTTTTTAAGAAAAGCCCTCGAGTTACTGGCGTTCCAAGTTAATTTTGCCTGCAGTTTAATATGTGTGCTTTTTCCTAATTTGGGTTGTGCAGAAGCTATTGCCATCTGCCCCTCCATATAATTCACACTCATTCAGTGTTCAACCACCCTACAGTAAAGCCTGGCTGTTATTTTGTCCTAATAGTACTTTGCCATATGGTGAGCTGCTCAAAATAAACAAAAACAAAGAAATCTAGATTTAACCTAGTTTGTGTATCAGTAATCCTAAGGATTTTAGTTCCATAGCAGAAACTAGTTTCTAGACTTTTCACGCAAAGTACATATGTATTTGAATAATATTGGGATCTGCTCTCTTTCTTTTCTTTTCTTTTAATGACTGGTACGGTACTGTACTACGGAAGTGGGGTTAACCCTTTTCCACATCTGGTTTTCTTAATTTAAATCCCTTTGCAAAAGCTTCTGAAGGGGGTTAAAACCAATTATTTCCCTTCACTGCAGCCCCAGCCAGAACTTTCCGTCTCTTCTCCAACCCCTCAACCCCCAATTTCAACACCACCCCCACCATCCTGAATCTGCTACAGTTTGTGTGATTCCCCCCCCCCAGCCCCATATTGCAGCATATCTTCATTTAGAATGTTTATCCCACTTCATAGCCCTGAAAGGCTCTCAGGGCAGCTTATGAAAGATTACCCTATTCAAATTTGGCTTCAGGAATAGAAGTAACATGGCGCCCTTATGGAGCTAGGATTATCAAGGCGGCATTCCCTGCCTTTATGCTTAGTCTTCCCTGGTTTTGACACTTAGCTTTTGCCCACTGGTCAGCAACTCCCACTGTTCTGCGTGCTAAACATGCAAAGTGTTGTATGTAGCCCCATCTTTAAACAGCAGCGGCCGCAAGTGTATGCAGACCCTTATTTAAAGCCCAGTGTTACCCTGATCCTACTGGTATTGCTGTAGAAAATACGACGGAGCAGGCACATTTCCCACAAATTGTGGAGCTGCATAAAATCCCTGGCACCTGAACTGGTTCAAGAAAAAGCAGCATACATCCTTTTTTAGGCTTGGTTCCAGAAGCATGAGGATTATGTTTCAGTGGTAATGGTTAACAACTCAGAAACCTAAAATTCTGGGTAGTATTAAGTAGTCAGAACCCAGTGCTTTCAAAGCTCTATGTTCCCATTTTAAAACAAAGTTTACATCCACACATTTAAAATACAGTTGCCCCCAAAGAATACTGGGAACTGTGGAAATTGTAGCTCTGTGAGGGTAAACTACAGTTTCCATGATCATTTAAGGGAAACCATGGGCTTTAAATGTGTTTTAGATGTATGGTGTGCATGTGAACTTTGACTTCAATGTTATTCATGTAGGTTTTCATATTGTGTCTCAGTAAATGACACAACTCTTCCTTTTGCTACTTAAGGTAAATTAGTGTGTCTTGTGAGATAGGATGGAAGCAGAGCTTGGGGTCATTGGCTTAACTTGTTCATTTGACCTGTTTTTAAATCAGTGCTCCATATATTAAGTGAAAGGACAAGCAGTTAGAACACCAACCACCTACATCCTTACTTAAGGTCGGTCACAAGAATTAGAACTTCCAATTTTTGAAGTAGATTTCTGGCCTTCAGTTTGTGGGGGAGAGCTTAGAATTGCAGGCAAAGATCACCTAGACAACTGCAGATTAAAAGTGACGAGGCAACCTGATGGAGAAATCAGATGTTTTTGCAAAGTAGTCAGAAATTTAAAAAAAAACACCTCTCCAAGCCCAGTGTGTTATTTCAAGAAAAATAGATAGCCTAGCTTATATCTGTCTGGCCCCACCAACCTCTGATCTAGAAGTCTTCCCTCATTCTAGAAGTGTGAACATGATTATTTTCCATCTGCTTCTCAGGGGCATTATCTATTTTTATGTTTCAGGTTTGGAAACCTAGCACGACAAATAGATGCCTGAGCTGAGGCTGGATAGAAAATTAGGCTGTTGACTAAGCCTCAGAATAAAATAAAAATAGCAGAAGAATGAATTTTCAGAGCCATAATTCCTGATGCAACAATATTTTGACAACAGAATAAATAGCTTTATTCACTATGGTTGTAACAGTTCACTAGAAAAGCATAAATCCAGATTACATTGACATGACATCCACATTGTATTACATTAAAGTGCATTTACATGAAAGCAGGGACAAAAGTGACTTCACTTGCTTCAAACCTGTCACAAGCACAGTCATACACAGCCATATATTGCACGCACACACGCACACGCCGACAATTGAGACAGACAAATCCTGCACGAAACATTGCCCATAGCACACAAGAGCTTTGTTCTCCTGGAAACACTCCCTCACCACTGAGCTGCTGCTGCTGCAGCAGCTGCTACACTTTTGAGAATGAAGAAGGCAAACCTCTGAGCGTACGGTAACGGTTGAAGGGGGCTAGTTTTGTTGAAGTATGAAAAGAATTGCATAGACTCTGGATAAAATAGCGTAGAAGGGACTCACCAGAATGGATCGTTTCCAAGCATCTTGTGCTCACACAACCTTATCGCATGCCCCAAGGTGGTGTGTGCCTTCAGCAATTGTGTGTTGAAGGGGGCAGGGGAAAAACAAGGCTCTTGGTCACTACTTAAAGGTCTGTTGCATCATTCAACCTATTTGGTTCAACTGCTTTCACTCCTCCTCCAAACGGATAAAAATATAGATCTTTATATACTACGTATTTAAAAAGAGAATAAAAAATAATTTGGTACTTTCGCTTTATGTAGTAGAGAACCCAAGTTGGTTCTTTTGTCTGTTCGGATACCTGAATGCAGGGATCTGTGTGCGAGAGTATCAATGGACCCACAGTTTCCCCTGCACACACAATCTTCCCCATTCATCTTAGAAGGGCATACTGCGGACCTAGGCTGCATATCCTGATACTGTACGTGTGCCGCATCCCTTGAAAAGAATCAGAACCTTTGTCCATTCAAGAGATGCTATGTGTGTTCTTGAGCACATGCAAGTCTCTGGATCAAAGGGTACGTGTGTAAGCTGCTGTAGCTCATTTTCATTTGCGGACGTGTTCTCCTGCATCAACCCTTTTGCGCACATTTGCATTCACACATACATGTTTACATACATTCCTTATAGAAAACAGCTGGAGGGGATAACAGAAAAGTCCATCAAATATAGAATAGTCAAATGTCATCTGGCACTGTGTAAGTTATAGCCATGTACCGAACAGAAAACAGTGTCGTAAATTTTACTTCACAGAACTGCACCAAGGGGTAGGGGGTTCTTTTTATCCCTCGCAGTTAGCATAGAAACTCGTGGAAATGTTGTTAATTGTACATTATGCATAGTACATTTCTTCTCTAGAGATTTTGCCCCCACCCCAAAAAAAGATACATAGATACATAGTCAATGAGAAGGTGATGGGGTTTTTTCCTTGTTTTTGTGAACAAAGGCGTTGTAAGCAGCTTTCTGTCTTGAGAAGAAATGTATGAAGCCAAGACTCAAATTGTCCCAGTAAAAGGATTTTCCTTTGTATCCCTGATTTCTGAAATCCTGCACTTCACAAGCTAGTTAAATTTATGTCCCTTAAAAAATGACATCTGGTAGGAGCTTGGACAAAGGAACATCATTTCTCCCAGCATTTGTGACTGTTTAAAACTACTGTTTGGCAAAGTCCTGTGAGGTGAAAGCAACACTTCCCTATGGCTCTAGCTTCCCATTGCTTATCTCCTTTCTCTCTTTCTCCTTTTCTCTTCTAAATATGTAAGCTATGATCCGGAGGGCTACTGAGCTCTGAGTCGTTTATTATTACTATTTTTATCAAAATGGCATCCCCACTCACTCCTTGACAAATAGCTTTTGGAGCTTGGGGAGTAGGGAAGTTGTTAATATTTAGTTCTTTGCTTTTTATTTCACAACAATCAACATGTTGCTCTTTCTAGGACTGGAAGTGTAATCCACACTGCAGTTTAATAATAAAGAGTACAGCATTTGCTGGGGGCATGTGATTCTGCTCCCCCGCCCCAGCACAGCCCAGAAGCAGATGTATGGTGTTGAATAAGCTCTACATGAGTCAGTGCAGCAGAACACATGTTTCCTAACCATCTTAAATCAACAGGCATAGCCAGAATTCTGCAAAGGATCTGCAGCTGAAAGAGGACAAGGAGACTGTTCCGTACAAAGAATGTACTGGGTTTACAAATAAATAGCTGATGTATGCATGTGTAGGAGAATACAAAATAATAAAATTATCAGGCAAACATCTGGCGCCTGCCATCAAATACATTTTAATTCAATAGCCAGTATGAAGTTCTCACTAGATCAATGCTTATCTTGATTAAGGAACTTGATTAAGGAACATATTAATGAAATTTTGACTATGTTGAGGAGCCAACTTTGGACTGCCCCCCCCCGAAGCTGACATGCCCTCCCTTGCAAATGTTTTATGTGGTACAGCTATCTTAGCCTACCATTTTTTAATCGTTTCATCAGGGCATCAACCTGACACCTCATTTTGGTGCTCAGAGCAATCATTTCCTTCTCATAATGTAGGTTAACTTAGATCTTGGTATATTCACCCAAAATACTATGCATTCCAGATCAAGGTTGATCTAAGTTTTGTGAGGTCGTTTTTGCCTGGGTTTGGCCATCAGCTGCTACTACTAAATTCAGAAGAATAGAAGCTTCTGCTAAATGTAATGTTATCAAAAGTAATAATCAGCACATTCCCCCTTTGGTTAAACATTATGTTAGAGATTAGAAGTCTCTGACTATTTTCTTAGTGTCTTGGCAATGCTCCTATTCATTCCTCCACATGCATGTGAGGAGGAAGTGCACTTGTTGGCCTCACCCCCTCCATCATGTCCCCATCAGCCCCTCCCTGCATCCCTCTGCGTGTTTGAGCAGCATTTCCCTAGGGAGGAGCCTGCTTTCTCTGCTGCAGAAATTGCATTTGACTGTGTAGAGAGCAACACAACTACAAGCTGTTGGGATCACAATGTAGGGAGGGTGCTAGCAACTGTGTCCCTGCTCTCTTCACTCAAACACTTGGAATCACATGAGAGGGAATGAGTGAACAGGGCTAATATCTCACTGCATTTTTAGGGAAAGAACCATCATCTTTGACAACTGGCAGAATGTGCCCAGTCATCATTTAGTGATCTTGTAAGCAAGTGACAACCAATTTTCTAACTCCGTGAGTTGGGACATACATGCATGGATTTGACCTCATTTCTGGGCTCAGAGTGCATGGCAGAATTGTTTTACCATCCTTTTCCCACTAAGATTATCACGTATCCTCATCAGTCTCCCTTCATCAATCTCCCTTCCACTAAGAGCCTGGCATTTTCCACATACGCATGGTGTAAGGGATGGTACAAGAGCAGAGGAATAAGCCAATATCTGTCTGCTATCATGTCATCTTACCCGTCTAGTGAGCTTGTAGGGCATGAATGTAGTGTAGTATAGTAACAGGCTGGCCAGACACTTCATGTTGAAGGCCAGGTTTCTGCCTGTGGCTGCCACTTGGTGACCCCCTATGTAAACCATAGGATGGGATCAATGCACAACTCAAAATTCTAACCTCAATTCCTTATATCAACTATCCGCATATGTGGTTTTTCATTCAGAACTAATAACCCTAAAACACCCACCTGTGGAAGAACCTCAAATGCCTCTAATTGTGTATGCAAGCCCTTAGAATCATCGGCCCATCTTTAAAATACTTTATGAAGGAGCAGCTTAGAGTCCATGTTAATTGTGAGATGACTGTGATTAACATGCATTAAGTCGTAGTGCGAATCCCGGAGCAAGCCTAGCGGTTCTTTCAAGTAAGGAGATGCTGTGAGTTAAACTGCTTTCGCCTCCCCTAACACTGTGCTTCCAAATGAAACCCATCTCACCTCTGCAAACAACCCCACCTCTGTCCCCACAGGGTGCCATTTCCTGTCTGATTGTGACTCTCAGCAGCTTGTGAAGTAATATGTGGACAGAGACAGGAGAGCTGCACCACTGGAGTTTTAATTCCAAAGAATATGGGTGCCAGGAGGCAAACCTACCTCCTTTGCCCTCCTCTTTTTCCTTTCAACCATACTATCCTGTAATGACCAACAATCCCATGAATGCCTCAAAATGGAGGTGGTACGGTGTTTAGTGAAAATGCATTTGGTTAGCACCTTTTTGATCACACAAGGTGTGGCCGCTCCCCCTCCTCCAGGATCATCTGGAACCTGCAAATGTTGGAGGCTCACGTCTAGAAATGAATACCCATCACCTGTGTTTGGAAGGGCTTCCTCTATAAATGAGGGTCTGTTCTTAAAGCTGAGTTGAGCAGGGAGCACACAAGGATTGCTCTTTTGGCCTGCTGGAACTAAACATCACTTTTCTCCAGATGTCATTTGAGAAGAGCAGTTGTGGAGTTTCCTGGGACGGACTGCAGTGTCCTTCTCGGTACATGTATAATATTTCCAGTAAAAAGGACAATGAAAACAAAACTCATAAAAAATCAATTTAACAAACCAAAAAGTTATTGAAAATTGTACAGGTTATCAAAATTAGATTAGGGTTGAGTCAAATGATCTAAACACATGTGGAAAATAATAGGTTTGGAAACCTATTAGAGACAACCAAGTCCCTGAGATTTCGCCTTGCTAAGCCATTCCTCCTTAAGCACACAAAGACATGGAAGATACATTGAGGTGCACCACACACACAAAAATAGACGGGTATTTCCTCTGCATTACGGGAACATTTATGTACACTTCCTCTCTAGTTAAAATACAGTTTCATCGAAGTGAGCATTTTCTTGTGATGCGTAGTGGGACCTCTACATGTGTTTAGAAGGCCATTTGTTTAGCTTACAGCAGTAGGTATGCCCAGGCAGCTTAGCCTGAAGATCAACCCCATTTTAAGTGGGGAGAAAGGTTTTTAAACAAGCCAGCTTCCAAAGGGTGATCTCACAAGCTGGTTGGCCTCCAGTTCCCAAACAAGATGGCCCAGCCCTAAGCTAGTCCTATTTCTAAAATAAATTAAGTGTTGAAATGTTCTGACTCCTCCTCTAAATATATGGCATTCGTCCATGTCGCATTCACACACAGGTTTCTGGGTTAGTTACAACTTCCCCGTTCTTTTCGTCTTTCAGAAAGTGTTCCACTTCAATAGAGTCCACCTTGGCGTTTCCAGATTTGTTTAACTCTTCTCTTTCAGCGACATCTTCTTGTGTGTGTGTTTCTGCTGGTTTTTTAATACAGAAGGCATTTCCTATAGCCAGCACCAAAGCCGAAGTGACCACTTCAACGCCAGCCATAATAAAAACATACATATATTTGTGTGTTGCGTCCAAGACTTTCCCTGGAAGAGAAAATTCACAGCTTCATCAACAACATGTTCAATCAAACCCATTCTCTAAGTTCCCAACTCTCTTAATTTGAAGAAACATTTTCAATAAATTTAGAATCCCTATGAATTCTGATAGCTCTTTATTTTTAACTTTCAGTATGGTACATGTGAGTGCACTACTTCTTGGCTGATTGACAAAGCTGGCCTGTAACCACAACCACTCCACCTTGTCCCTGATCCTCAGTCTGCTCTTGCACATGTCTTTGTTCTTCTGAGCATGCTTCTGAGTACCAGTTGCCAAGAACCAGAGGAGTGGATAGTGTTGTTGGGTCACTGGTCTGATCCAGCAGGCTCTTCTTATGTTCTTAACGTAGCCATGGGGCCAACAAATCTGTAAGGTAAAGGTAAAGGGACCCCTGACCATTAGGTCCAGTCGTGGCCGACTCTGGGGTCGCGGCGCTCATCTCGCTTTATTGGCCGAGGGAGCCGGCGTACAGCTTCCGGGTCATGTGGCCAGCATGACTAAGCCGCTTCTGGCAAACCAGAGCAGCGCACGGAAACGTCGTTTACCTTCCCGCCGGAGCGGTACCTATTTATCTACTTCCACTTTGACATGCTTTTGAACTGCTAGGTGGGCAGGAGCTGGGACTGAACAACGGGAGCTCACCCTGTTGCGGGGATTCGAACTGCCGACCTTCTGATCAGCAAGCCCTAGACTCTGTGGTTTAGACCACAGCGCCACCCAAAACTAAGCCTGTTGTTCATTGCCTCAAAATAAAAGAAATTGCATCCCATGGTAATTGCCATCACTTTTCTGTCTTTCCCCATAAACCTGCCCCATCCCTTAATTGACAAACAGCAAATGAACTGAATGTAACATTTACCTGCTGAAGGTGGTCCAATTAGAACGGCCATCGCCTCCATCAGGAGAACTAAACCAATGGCACTGGAAAACTTCTGTGTGCCAACAATAGCCATGAGAACTTCAAACTGAAGAGCACCAACCATTCCATAGGAAATGCCAAAGAAAATGCAGAAGACCACCAGTCCATCATAATTGTAGGCCATGGACCCCATGAGATCAGTAAAACCATTAAAGAGCATAGAAAAGCTAAAGAGGTAGACACAACGGGGCCTAACCCACTTCAAGCCAGCCACTATTCCACAAATGGGCCGAGCAAAGATATCAACCATTCCAAGAATGGTCAGAAGTAAAGCTGATTTGCCGTCTGGGTTCTTCATATCCTTAGCATAGCTCACCACAAAGACCGGTGGCACAAATAAGCCCAGCACCATGATGGATGCAGCTACTGTATAGATTACGAAGCCACGATCTCTGAAGACACTGAAATCCAGTAGCTTTTTCTTGATTTGCTTCTCAGGGGCCGCTTGGGAAGCGTCAGGTTTTTTAGGAGCTTCCAACGGTCTCATCAGAGCTCCACAAACACAGCAGTTCAAAAGCAACCCCCCCAAGATGAGAAATCCTCCTCGCCATCCATACACATGCTGTAGTTGCTGCCCCAAGGGGGAAAGAGCACAAAGAAACACAGGGCTTCCAGCTGCAGCCAACCCATTGGCCAAAGGTCGCTTTTTGCTAAAGTAGCGATTCAGCATGATGAGCGACGGCTGGAAATTGAGTGCCAGGCCCAGTCCTGAAACAGAACAGATGCCAGAGTTTAAATCAGGAACAACATTCAGCATATATAACAGGAGTGCTCTATACTGCAGGCGCTGCAGGTGAGCAATTCACAGCTCAAGATACAAAAATAGCCCAGGATACGGTTTGGGGTATGGCCAAAGACATCAGCATATCTTTAAGGGCTGCATGCTCCTGTCCAAACCTGTGCAGGAAGACTAGCCTCATATAACCAGCCTCATATAGCCAATATGCTTAAGTCTAATTAATGTATGAAAGGGTTAATACCATAGAGTAAGCTATCCTGCCAGGCTTAGCTGGGTCACTTCCTTTATCTTGGAAGGAAATGGGTAATCAAGCCTATTGTTGCCCCTCAGTCTACTAGAGAACCCCCAAAGAGATGTGAGCTGGTTGTTCCAGCTCAACCACATGGCTCTCAACCAAGTACTCTTGAATTCCTATACCAAGAATGTAGGAACTTTTACCACTTTGGAACTAAGCTAAGTTTTACCACCTGTGCAACTTTTCTGAATGCTGTATGGAAAAGCACATCAAGCTGTCCTTTGGAGAGTTTGTAAGTAAAACATTTTAAGTTACCAAAAGTGTGGTCTTTTTCTCTGCTGGGGAAGTGGGAAACTTTGGAAGGAATTTAAAAGGGCAGATTTTAAGGTTTTACAGTCTATATATCCATGAAACATGGAAAGGCTTGGATCAAGTCTGGTAAGATTCACTGCATCTTGATTTCTTTCCTTTTTTTCATTGGCTTAAAAAAGGGGGGGAAATACAGACACCAAAACAAAGAAGTCTAAATTAACATTGCCTTCTACCAATAAGAAATAATAATAACTATTACAATAATGAATGCTAAAATTACCTTTACTTCCCCTTTTAAACTTCTATTCTGGTTACAATATGTTACTATTCTATAAGAATCTATTATATCCTTTGCTGTCCCATGTATTATTTTATTTCCCAAATTCAACCTAACCCTCCCCTCCTCCCCACTGCTTCCCTTCACCTGTGTGAGATCTTCCCATCACAATATATATATTTTCTAGTTGCTTTGATAAAATAGAGTAACTTGAAAACTGTTAAATTATAATTACTCCTTTTGTCCTTACACACTTAACACTGCATCTTGATTTCAAGGGAAACTATAACCTGCTCATACCTGGACTAGCTCTTTTCACACATACAGAACCAGTCTTGCTTTGTGCCTATTATAAGGGGAAGAAATATTCCGTTTTCTAACCCGCCCAAAAAAAAGGAACCATAGTAATCACATAAATATATGAGAGATCTCATTTGATTTCATTTTGTACCTGATGCTTATCAATCACAGATACACTTATGGGAAGGAATGCACCCCCCCCATCCTTTTTATTATGCATTTATGATTATTTGTGTTCATGATGGTGTTGGGACACCTATACACAATCCCTCTTTCAATACTGTTTCCACCAACAAAATTTCAGGGCGGACATACCACTTTATTTTCAATCAGTGCATGTTCTGATTCAACTTCCTGCTGAAATCCTGTATCTTTTCATACCACAAGTGTCCCATGTTTCCCATCCCCACCCCCATCTTGTTGCGCCATAGTGCAAGGGTAGTGCTCCAGACAACAATAATGCAACAACGTTGGGGAATCGTCGCTGAACAACAAATAAAACAGAATGATATGTGGACAGTCCAGTATACAGTGGTACTTCGGGTTAAGTACTTAATTCGTTCCAGAGATCCGTTCTTAACCTGAAGCACCACTTTAACTAATGGGGCCTACTGCTGCTGCTGCACCGCCGGAGCACAATTTCTGTTCTTATCCTGAAGCAAAGTTCTTAACCCGAGGTAATATTTCTGGGTTAGCGGCATCTGTAACCTGAAGCGTATGTAACCCGAGGTACCACTGTAGATCCATCACTAATGCACTGATGCCTTGATGCAATCTTGCAGAACCCACCTGCAAAAACAAATCCAGTTTGGAGGGGCCCTACGACCAGCAACAGACTCACACTTGCAGCTACATGTGGACAGTTGTGAGCAGGGCACCTCACTGACCTGGCAGAGGAACCAAGAATGGTAACGGATGTTTGACTGCAAGGAAGTGAGAAGACTCCTGAGGCCAGTCAACAAAGAGAATGCATATGGTAAAAGGAGTGCTTTAGAAAATGTCAGGAAGTGGTAGACAGAAAGGGCATTGCGAATGAGAGACCTACTTTACACCAGTGCATGCAATGTGAAACTGTACCATTTAAGAATGCCATTAAGGGATCAGTGCTCCCCTACATACACGTGTCCCCACAAATACAAAACTAGCACATCAAAGAGATGCTGTACCACATGCCCCCCCCCATTGGCTCACCCTCTCTCACAAGCTATTGCAACCAGTAGCATAGCTATGTAACACAGTCAGCCCACTGGCTGGTTCTTTGACACTGGCACTTACCGGTAATGACACCAGCGGTAAGGTAGACCTGTATTATATTAGTGGAGTAGGAAGCAGCGATCATCCCCAATGAGGCAAAGAGGCCTCCGACCAGCATAACAGGACGGCAACCAAACCGATTGACACACATACTGCACAGGGGCCCTGAGCAAAAGAGAGAATGCGTAAGATGTTTGTTTCTGTAACTTCCCAGATCATTAATATATCTATCAGTTGCGGTTTGTATTTCTTCTCATAAGGCCCACCCAGATTCAGTTGTCTGAAGACCTTGAGTCTGAAGACGTCAGATTCCATTTTCCATCTCCTTTTCATTTGACCAAGGCTCTAGATTCCTGGTGCTTACCCAACACATCTGGAGGATACTTGAGACTGTTAGCTTTCTTTTTTTTAATGTGTACAGATATTGGTGGCCTTGACGTTTCCATTATAAACCACACCCACCTGCCCCACCCCTGGCACCATTTGTTATACCAGGGATGGAGCAGGTACTAATGTGACTACCAAGGAACTATTGGGAGCTTAAAGCAAGCTCCTGATGGTTCCTTTGCTGTAGGTCAGCGTGAGTTCGAGCCCAATGGATCGATGTGAGTTCAAGCCTGTCAGTGAGTTTAAGCCCAGTGGATCTGTTGTGCAACCAAGTTCCCCTTGGATAATTTAATCATGTGGCTGACCCCTGCAGAAAGCAGGCTTGAACTCACTGCCCATGACATAAGGTGAGTACCATGTGGGTTATCACACCCACCTGCCAAAGTTGTCCCATCTGGCCCCAAAAGGTTCTCCACTCTATTTTAGATCATATTCAGAGAGCTTTTACCAGTTCTGCTGCCACCTAAGCCACGGCAGGTGATCACTAGAAAAGGACCCTTTTCAGTGTGGCACCCCAGCATTAGAACCTGGCACCTACATGGATGTTTTCCCAGCACCTGGAATAGATCTTATTACTATTTTGAACTTTTTGACTTGTGCTAGTCTGCCAACCTAGCAGTTCGAAAGCACATCAAAGTGTAAGCAGATAAATAGGTACCGTTCTAGCGGGAAGGTAAACGGTGTTTCCGTGCACTGCTCTGGTTCGCCAGAAGCGGCTTAGTCATGCTGGCCACATGACCCAGAAGCTGTACACCGGCTCCCTTGGCCAATAAAGCGAGATGAGCGCCGCAACCCCAGAGTCGGTCACGACTGGACCTAATGGGCAGGGGTCCCTTCAGCTTCAGTCTGTTTTATTCCAACTAGTGTATTTTAATGCTACCTTTATAGACTTGCTTATTTTTCATGCCCTTGTTTTCTTGGTTTGGGGAACAAACTATTTTATTGTAAAAGCCACCCTTTATAATATATATAAATATTAAAAATAAAATAAAATAGAGTACTATGCTTCTTTGATGTATTTACTACCCCAGTTTTAGAATGTTGTAAGTACTTACCTGTTCCATAAAGCATAGCCAACAGAATGGAGGAGATCCACGCGGTGTCACTGTATCCAACACCAAACTCCCGGATAAGCTCTTTAAAGAAGACGCTCATGGCCTTTGGGAAGGCATAGGAGAATCCCGTGATGACAAAGCACCCAAAGAGAACAGCCCAGCCCCAGCCGCCATCTGGGGCTTTAACTCCGCTAGGACCATCGTCAACCACCACAGCTCCCATGATGAGATTTTATCTGTTTCCTAAGACATAAAAAAAAGTATTTAAATAGTCCATCAGTACCATAAGATATGATCAGCTCAGTCTTGGTTATGCAATGAATAATTTTAATACAGTAGGGTCCATAAAAGCGGACTTCCTATGGAAGGCAAGGCTAGCTTTTTAGATGAAGTGGTCTCTTATGCAGATAAAGGCCTGCCCTATTCCCAGCAGTGGTGACTGGTGCCCATTGGGATCAGTAGGGTGGAAGGCAGGGATCCCAAGAGCCAACTTGCTGAGTTCTATAAGGCCAGCACTGAAACTAAGGTAGAGGAAGCTCTGACAAGCAGTGAACAACCCTTGGACTAGTTGAAAGTAAGGAGACAGACAAGTGGGGGCTAGCTGATGGCAGACTGAAGTTGATAGGACAGTGACCCATTCTCCCTAGTGGACCAGTCCCCACTGTCTACCAGTTATTGTTGCATTAACATCTGTACAGCTGTGTACTTGGAGAGTGGAGCAGAAAGTGGGAGGTCCTTTTTGAGCAGGATTTGCAGAAGACAGAAATGGGATATTTATATAATTATAGAATTGCAGAGATGGAAGGGACCCTGAGGATCATCTAGAGGTCCAACCCCATGCAATGCAGGAATATGGAGCTGTCCAGTATGGGGAATGGGGAGTGAACCTGCCCATTGACATTATCAGCACCATGCTCTAACCGACCAAGCTCTCCTTGTTGTTATAATATTCTATCTATCTATCTATCTATCTATCTATCTATCTATCTATCTAATGCAGTAAGTGTTCGGATGTGTTTCTCCTATGAATAGATCTTCCAAAGGACAACTTCCACCTGGCTTCACCCAATTCATATTGGATAAATACTACAGAGGAGAGTCATTTCTTAAACCAGCGATAACTGTAAATGTCAGCATGCAAAATGTGTATGAATACAGTACTATTAGAGCAGAGAGCTGTGCCCTATTCCGAAGTTATACTCACGTGTAAGGCCGCTGCAAGTACAGAGCTGCACATAGTCTCCCCCCTCCCCATATGGGCATTCTGTGAAGACAGACATTCTCACTGTATGTGAGGGCTTCTTGGCACAGGCCTGCTCACACATTGGTCTTACATACAACCGTGACATCTATCTATCAATCATTTATTACACGGTCACAGACCTGTTAAACTGTAAGGTCCAAATTATGCTTTAGTTGTTTGGTTTTCTTGATATTTTTCCAGTCATTAAATATGTGGATAAATTTATATACCCACATTTACAAACAGTGGCAAACTTTAACACACCCTGACCTATTTGTTTAGGCAGAATTTTCCAGGCTCATAAGATTCATTGACGGCTCTGTTTTATTATTTATTGATACTTTGCTGAATGTTTTGATGGAGTCTCCTTTTCAATCAATGTATTTCTTTGTATTCCTGATCATAATGCTTTATATAGTAAAATAATAATAATTATTCAAGGGGGTAAAGAACTACACAACTTTGATAAGACATCTGAAAGCAGCCCTGTGCCAGGAAGTTTTCAATGTTTGACATTTTATTGTGTTTTTATATGTGCTGGAAGTCACCCAGAGTGGCTGGGGAAACCCAGCCAGATGGGCGGGGTAGAAATAATAAAGTTGTTGTTGTTGTTGTTACTTTTATTATTAAGATTTCCATTTCCTTTTAAAAATGATTTTATTGTATTTAATGTACAGTGGTACCTTGGGTTAAGTACTTAATTCGTTCCGGAGGTCCATTCTTAACCTGAAACTGTTCTTAACCTGAAGCACCACTTTAGCTAATGGGGCCTCCCGCTGCTACCGCCGCGCAATTTCTGTTCTCATCCTGAAGCAAAGTTCTTAACCCGAGGTACTATTTCTGGGTTAGCAGAGTCTGTAACCTGGAGCGTATGTAACCTGAAGTGTATGTAACCCGAGGTACCACTGTAAACTGTTTAGGGATCTCACATATTAAGCAGCACATAAACATTATTAATAAAATAAATTAATACATATATTGTTAATTCTGTTTCTTTTGTTTAATAAATTTATCCAGAACAGATTAACTTTCTGTTTGGCTAATGGCAAAAATCACTTAAAAGTCCCCAGCTTCAGAAGGGTCAGGAGCTCAATGGTTGTGCTGCTTTGTATGCATAAGGTCCACAGCATCTCCAGTTTAAAGGATCAGGTAGCAAATTATTTGGAAGACCTTTCTCTTTCTGAGAGCCTGGAGAGCTGCTGCCAGCCAAATCCAAGAATACTGGACTAGATAAACAAATAGTCTGATTAGGTACAAGATACTGTAGCTTCCTATGTCCCCACACGCTACCAGGTCAAGGAACAAAGGCAGTGGATTCAGTTATTTGCTGTATTAAATGTCTATCTCTAAGCAATACCTATTGCTTGCAAGACAATGGCCATGAAATTATTGCATGCTATATGACTCATTTGACCCTGCAAGAGCTGCAAATCAAGTCACTTGATGTCTAGACGGCTGAGTGATGAGTATGTGATCATTCAGAGTCCTTTCTGTGACATTTAGGCCCAGGGCTGCACAATTTACAAGAAACAATCTCACGGTCAAGCTCCAGAAATAAACCTGGCAGAGCCTTCCAGAGCAGATCTATTGCATGAAGCTGCTCTTTCAGGAGGAAAACATCCAAATGCTTTTCCTTCATCATCTCTGCTGGAGAAGATTCGGTTACAACAAATACACAGGCTGCCTTGAGCTGCATAAAGTTAGAACATGAAACCGGCATGAAAGCAACACTCCGATTATAAGCGGCACGATCCAAAGAATGAGGCGACATGTTCCATGTGCCCAGGGAGATTTTGGGCCTTGAACAGCAAAACAGTCACCTTTCCATAAAAAAAATGAAGGGATGCTGAAGATGCCCACATTTTGGCAAGTGTCATTATTGTACTGTAAGGCTTGCTGTTTTATTACTGCAACAAGAAGAGTGAAAATTATTTTTCCCAGTATCATGCAGATCCTTACCCAATATACAGTGAAACCACATTTTCTGGCACTGACGTTTGACTTCCTAGACGTACTCCTAACGTATATCCTCTGAGTCTCCGCTAGTGAATTTACAGTAAGGGTTATCTGAGGTCCCTCTCTTAACTGCCCAACAGAGTTTATGCTCTTGTCAATCAAATATCCATCAGCAAAATGTCTAAGTAGGCAGATGGGCTATTAAATCAATCAGTGTTTAACAGCAGTATGGTGGGGGGGTTTTTTCTAGAAAAAAGGGTTGGATTTGAACCATCACTCACTATCACAAGAAGCTGAAAAATAAAAGTACTAACAAGGGAACAAATGCCTAAGTCCACCATCTGAGTTATAGCTTTAGTAAAGTGGAAGGAGGGAAAAGCAGTTTTCTCAGAAAGAAGCCCCTGGCTTTCTCACATGTTCCGCCAGCCTGCCAATTAAATTGTTTGACAATTCATCATGGTATTGCTCCTGAACTGTAGCTGCAAAAGCCAGCGCTACATAATGCTTTTATCAGGTTTTGTTTGTATATGCAAGAGTACCAGGTAATTTGCTTGCTATCTGGCATGGATGCACTTTCCAGGGACAGCAAATCTATATCTGAATCTAAATATATATTGGCTCCAGACAGCTTCACGAAAGATAAACAAAAGCACTCAGTACCCATAAGCCATCGGGTCTTGCTGCAGGAGACCTTTATGAAAATCCTTTCCCCCTTCCTCTCAAAAACAGATCTGGTATTGGAGGAGATAAGCTATTCTGTCCCCATAGAAACTTGCATCCATCCATGCATACACCTACTCACAGCCAGCTGCTCATTCTTCTCCTGCACCGTTCTGCCTGACAGCAACTCAGGCAGAAACCCAGCTAACAAACTTCCCTATGTACATAGCATATGAAGAAGACTTGGCATTCATCATCACATCAGTCATTCATCGGTGACAGGGTTCTCTCCATCCCCCACCCTGAGCCCTTTCTCACTTCCAAAATGCAGCCATCTGCCTGCCAAGTGAAATGACTTAAGGCAGTGGCTCCCAACCTCTTCGCCCACCCCCACCCCAGCCCCGCAGACTACTACAAAATCGCTGTGGGCCTCAGCAGATCACTGAAAGATTTTTCTGTCTTTTGTGGTAATGGTGTTGCGCTTTGCTAGGGGCTGCTTTTACTTCCTACTCTGTATTACAATTTAAATTCTGTGGAATTGAAATTGTAATATAATAAAATACAACAAATAAAAGAAGCAACAAAAATGGAATGAATGAATGAATAATGTGGACACGCCATGGACCACCTGAATGAAACCCTTTGGGAACTCCTGACTTAAGGGATTTCCTTCAACTGGATATTTTGCCATCCTATCCTCCATCCCCAGGAGTAATCTTCATCCCTGAAAATCCTCTAGCCAGGATATTTCTGAAGTACGACGCTATCTGACTTCTAGCAATGCAGCAAGATGATGATCTCTGACCTGTATTCAACCACTGTGCATTGCTTTCTTGCTCGCCTCTTCAGGTAAGCCAGCAGCTGATAGTTTGGTCATTGAGGGAAGGGGACAGTCTTTCAAAACAGAAGAATATCTTGGCGCGGGAGAAATTATGGGGAATTGGTGTTTTTGCATGGCACAGTCTTAGTAATGAGACTTTTCTTCTGCTCTCCCCCTTCATCTACACTTCATGGTGTTTAAATCACTGGCTGTGAAAAGAAAGCACTGCCTTAGGGCTGCTTTAATGAATGCTTGGGAACATTTAAGGTGATGGGATGTGCAACTGCCCTGTGTTTTGCAAGTGCTAACTGCAAAAAGCGTGTTACGTCATCCATTCTGAAAGAGTTTCTAACTTTTTGCCAGTGTGGAGTCTTAACCTTTCAGGCCATAATGGTCTGGACCCAGGATACATTAGGTATCACCTCATATATGCATAGACACACACACACACATACAAACACGTACGTGCTTAGGGTCAGGAATGTATCTGGTACCTTCTATCCTATGGAACTTGCCATCTACTCAGTTTCCTCAGATTCACAACTTTGATGAAAACAGGGCCTT